TATCCAAGATAACTCATTAGGTACACATATACCAAGGCAGGTATTCCAAAAAATACCTTGAAAAAAAATACCCCCCCCCCCCAAAAATTCAAAACTCAAAACAACTCTGGTCCCAAGCATTTTGGATGAGGGTTACTTAATCTCCATTGATGGGAGGATAAAATCATGGGTGGTATCTCTCATATTTATTCGTCAGGTTTTTAGTTAAGACATTTACATGGCAATTTATAATGAAACCTAGTAGTTAAATTCCTTCCCTTAATGTAAAGGTAAGGCTTCAGGGAAGTATAAATATATGCCCTGAGGAATACAATACATAACTGCATTATAGGAAATATAAATATATGCCCTATTTTTATTTGTCGTGTCAGGGCAACCAATATATGCCCTGAGGAATACAATACTTAATTGCTTTAGATGGAGCTATAAACTTTTACTAATCCCCATGCATATCCAAAAGTCAGTGTATTGTAAAGCTTATTAAATAAATCCTATAAAACTCTGTATTTCAAATTTTGAGGCCTAGGTTTACATTTCTATAGAAGATTCTATTTTTGTTTTATTCCTGATGAAAAGGATTCTGCCTTCAACTTCAGAGGAGGACGAGGCAGCATGTTTCACAGCCATGCCACGAGCCATGGTAGTTCAAATGGTGTCAAACTGCATTCATTCTACAGTGTAGATCAGGCATGGGCAAACTTCGGCCCTCCAGGTATTTTGGACTTCAACTCCCATAATTCCTAACAGCTGGTAGGCCATTAGGAATTGTGGAAGTTGAAGTCTAAAACACCTGGAGGGCCGAAGTTTGCCCATGCCTGGCTTTGAGGCACCTGAGTGTTTTGATTTCTTGACTGCAGTCTCCATTCGGATTAATGCTGGAGCAAGGTGTGAAAAACCTTGAACTATCAGAATGATTAAAATACTTTGAACATGATAATTTGTTACAATTTTGCAGAATCTGCATATTCAGTGCTTTTCCATTTAATCTAATGGTTAGAAACATAGTTTCTGTTTCTTATGAGATGAGGAGTCCCATTAAAATACTTTAGACAGTTAACCTTGCTGACTCACAAAGCAATTGTTCATCAATACTTTTGAAAATATGATGCAGGCAGGGACATCTTTCTTTGTAATAATTCTCACTGAATTTCCTGGCTTTAATTATATTAAATCATATCACGAAGAATGTGGCAGTTAATGGGTGACTTAGGGCCCATCCTTTGTTAGTGTTTATTCTTTCAGTCACTTCCGACTCTTCGTGATTGCATGGACCAGACCATGCCAGAGCTCCCTGTCGGCTGTGGCCACCCCCAGCTCCTTCAAGGTCAATCCAGTCACTTCAAGGATACCATCTATCCATCTTGCCCTTGGTCGGCCCCTCTTCCTTTTTCCTTCCTTTCCCCCCAGCAATATTATCTTCTCCAAGCTTTGCTGTCTTCTCATGATGTGGCCAAAGTACTTCATCTTTGCCTCTAATATCCTTCCCTCCAGTGAGCAGTCAGGCTTTATTTCCTGGAGTATGGACTGGTTTGATCTTCTTGCAGTCCAAGGCACTCTCAGAATTTTCCTCCAACACCACAGTTCAAAAGCATCTATCTTTTTTTCGCTCAGCCTTCCTTATGGTCCAGCTCTCACATCCATAGGTTGCTATGGGGAATACCATTGCTTTAACTATGCAGATCTTTGTTGCCAGTGTGATGCCTCTATTATTCACTATTTTATTGAGATTGGTCATTGCTCTCCTCCCAAGAAGTAAATGTTTTCTGATTTCCTGGCTGCAGTCTGCTTCTGCAGTAATCTTTGCACCTAGAAATGCAAAGTCTGTCATTGCCTTCATGTTTTCTCCCTCTATTTGCCAGTTATCAATTAGTCTAGTTGCCATAATCTTAGTTTTTTATGTTTAATTGCAACCCAGCTTTTGCACTTTCTTCTTTCACCTTGGTTAGAAAGCTCCTCAGCTCCTCCTCGCTTTCGGCCATCAAAGTGGTATCATCTGCATATATAAGATTGTTGATGTTTCTTCCAGCAATTTTAACTCCAGCCTTGGATTCATTAAGCCCCGCACATCACATGATGTGTTCTGCATACAAGTTGAATAGGTTGAGTGAGAGTATACAACCCTGCCGTAGATCTTTCTCAATCTTGAACCAGTCTGTTGTTCCATGGTCAGTTCTTACTGTTGCTACTTGGTCCTTATACAGATTCCTCAGGAGAGAGACAAGGTGGCTTGATATCCCCATACCACCAAGAACTTGCCAAAAGAGATTATGATCCACACAGCCAAAGTCTTTAGAATAGTAAAAAAAAAAAAAAAAAAACAAACAAACAAAAGAAAAAACACAGAAATAGATGTTTTTTTTTAAACTCCCTACCTTATGCAGCGGATATTGGCAATTTGGTCTCTCATTCCTCTGCCTTTTCTAAATCCAGCTGGAGGGGGCCCATTCAAGATATGCCCTGTCTCAGTTTTTACTGGAGGCATCCAATTGATGCCTCCAGCAAAAACTAATTAATTCGGAACAAACCAAGGTTTCCCTGGTTTATTCCAAATTTATTTGATACTCCATTAGATCCAAGTCTTCCTGGAATGCCTGGGTCTAATGGGGTATTGGGCCTGTGGGAACTCACTTCTGGTTAGTGCTGGGACTACTTGGGGGTGAGTCCCCACAGCCTCATAACTTTTGTGGGCTTCCGAAAGCCCAGAGGAGCAGGATGACACCCACCCATTCTTGTATTGGATTTGCCGTCCTAATAATTAAGAATCAGACATGCAGGAGGAGATTAGTATCCAAATTACCTTAATATAGCGATGTATAGAATCCAATTTTTTTTTCTTTAGGAAAAAAAATAGATCAATATATTCTTATGGCGAACTTTACAGGTTGGGTTTGTGTCTTTAAATCTAGTTGTCAGTAGAAGATGAAATGCAGTTTTAGTTTCTTTAAGAGGAAATGTGTTTTTATCTCATTTATGAAGCTCTCATCACTGAAAAAATGTCCGTAAACATAAATTATAAATTGTTCAGGAGCCAAGAGAAGGAAACTAACTGTAGGAAAGAAAAGATCACATTTATTATCTCATGTTGATAAGTGTTTATAGAACAAGAAAAAGCTATCCCTTGGGAATCTCAAGGGATAGCTTGAGATAAAATAGCCCAGTTGGTTTGAATTAGGTTTCCATGTGAAATATAGCTTTCTCTTTCTCTCTCTTTTCTTTAATTGCTGTTATGGGAAAGTAAACGGAAGATTTTCTGAGTGATAGATAGCAGTTATCTACACATGAATAAATTTTGAACCCCCAAAAACTATATCTTAAGCCTCTTGTTCTCACTCAATGTAATATATATGAAGCAGGATGTACTAATAGAGTCGGATTAGGAGTATGATGTTTTAGAACCAACCTTTTTTTGACCAGGGACCACTTTGACCAGGGACCACTCTCCAACATTCATACCAAAAGCGTTATGAATCAGTTTTTGGTCAACTTTAGATTTGGTTTGGGGTTCTGATTCAGAAAATTGCATTAGATAGACCACATCAGCTCTAGTTTCTGATACAGAACATATGCCATGGTCAGCGAGAGGAGAGGAGTGGCAAGCAGTGTGAAAGGAGCGGAAATAAAATAAATAAAGAGGTTCACGGACCTCTTTACTTCTGGTTAGTCCTGGGACTACTTGGGGTGAATCCCAAGCCCTCACGGTCCACTGGTGGTCCGCGGCCCACGCGTTAAAAACCACTGTTTTAGGCCTAGGAGAAACAGCGGCCAAAATAGTTATCATTTTGAGACCAGGAACTGTAGATTGAATCTTTTTTTATTCTGAATTGTTTCTAGCATTGAATGTGTTGCAGGGATCGCATGGACAGCTTTGTGGATTTGTGGGAACTGAGGCCCCTTCTATGCTGCCCTATATCCCATGATCTGATCCCAGATTATCTCCTTATCCCTTATATGGCAGTGGAGACTCATATAATCCAATTCAAGGCCCCGTCTCTTGTCCCTTTGAAATCTATGATACCATATCTGTGTATGTGTGAATCATCTATCTATCTATCTATCTATCTATCTATCTATCTATCTATCTATCCATCCATCCATCCATCCATCCATCCATCCATCTCTGTCTGTCTGTCTGTCTGTCTGTCTGTCTGTCTGTCTGTCTATCTATGGCTGGCTGGCTGGCTGGCTCTTTGTTAGGAGGGCTTTGATTACGTTTTCTTGCCCTGGTGAAGGGAGTTGGACTGGATGTCTTTAAGTATTTTCTGTTGGTCATGTGGGTTCTGTTTGGGAAGTTTTCCCCAATTCTGTCGTTCGTGGCGTTCAGAATGCTCTTTGATTGTAGGTGAACTATAAATCCCAGTAACTACAACTCCCAAATGTCAAGGTCTATTTTCCCCAAACTCCATCTGTGTTCATGTTTGGGCATATGGAATATTCTTTCCAAGTTTGGTCCAGATCCATCATTGTTTGAGTCCACACTGCTCTCTGGATGTAGGTGAACTACAACTCCCACACTCAAGGTCAATGTCCACCAAACCTTCTAGTGTTTTCTGTTGGTCATGGGAGTCCTGTGTGCCACGTTTGGTTCAATTCCATCATTGGTGGAGGTCAGAATTCTCTTTGATTGTAGGTGAAATGTAAATCCCAGCAACTACAAAACTCTAATGACAAAATCATTTTGAGTGATGGTCACTCCTTGGGTTAGTAGGTATCTTGTGGCCAAATTTGGCAGCAATTCGTTCAGCGGTTTTTGAGTTATGTTAATCCCACAAACGAACATTATATTTTATTTATATAGATGTCCTTGATGCATTTGTGCGCTTTTACTGCTTAGATATGAACTTAAAGAAATGGGGAGGTTGTATGTCATTGTTTTCAAATTCTTGTTTGCAACAAGACAATCCAAAACAATATGTATTGAATATTTCTGTTGATCTAATCAGTTGTAAGGTATGCAAATCCAAGCAAATAATCATCCTTTGTTTATTTGTTTGTTCAATAAGGTGAGCTCGTGGGTGACATGGCTGATTCTCACAGCAGGCTCTATGGAGGAAAAACGAGACGTCTTCTCTTATGTAGTCCATGTGGCGAAATGCTGCTGGAACATGGGAAACTACAACGCTGTCATGGAGTTCTTGGCAGGCCTTAGGTACTTGCAGCTCATTCTTCAAATGATGGAGACTCGGAGATAGATTACACTGCAGCTTCTGTTACAAACAGCTGTCCTTTAAAAAATAAACCATGAACGGTACTCCATCAGTCACTATGCTAAACAGTGTTCTGTTGCTAAGTTGCTTCATTTATCTTGTCCGGCAAGTTTATGATAGCTGTTTTGGGAAAACTGAATGAAACAGACAGCAGAGGCTGTATTTCGTGAAAGAGAGGTCTTTTCTCAGAATACTCTTAACGACGGTGCATTTATTTTTCAGAATGATAAACATCCTTTTAAAAAAGAAATGCAATACTAGCTTTCCGGTAGAAAGAGCCAATATAAGAATTAAAAGAAAGAATATAAAAATTAAATAGAGATTTCTTCTTGCATAATGTAATGCTTTTAGAATTCTTTTCTTTGACATTGTTATTTATTGATAATAACAAGACATGTTGCTATTTATTTGTTTTTCCCTTTGCTTCCAAACCCATTTTGTTCAACCCAGTTCCCTTCATTATTTTTTTTAGGACTTTTTAGTTTGAGAACAGACATAAAAGGGTTTAGGGAGAGAAAGGACAGGAAAAGTTATAGACTAATGAAAGGAAACGAAACTTTATTTATAGCCCGCGCCATCTTCCCGAAAGAACTCAGGGCGGCTTACAACCAAATATAAACAAATAAATAAACAAATTAAAGGCAACCAAATAAATTATAAACCGACGTAAATAAACAAGACATAGCATAATTCACATAATTACTAACGTATTAAATCTTTAGAATCTCATTTAAAATCTCTAAAATTAGGCTAAAATTGTTGGAGGGAGATGGTGAACACCAGACTAACAGGGTGGATGCTAGCAGCTAGGTAAGGTGAAACATCAAATCATCTGGGTGTCCTCTGGGCAACATCCTTGCAGATGGCCAATTCACTCACACCAGAAGTGACTTGCAGTTTCTCAAGTCACTCCTGACACGACAAAAAATAAATAAATTTCTTTTTGAAGGAGAGGAGAGAGGAAGCCATTTTAATACTTTAGGAAGGGAGTTCCAGAAATGGGGAGCAATGACAGAGAAGGCCCTCTCTCTCGTTCCCACCAGCTGCGTTTGAGACAGGGGTGGGACTGAGAGGAGGGTCTCATGTTGGTTTGTATATGAAGATGCGGTCTTTCAGTAGTCTGGGTCCAAACTGTTTGGGGCTTTATGGGTAATGACCAGCACATTGTATTTAGCCCAGAAGCAGTTACAGCCAATGGTGCTGTTGTAACATAGGAGTTGCCCGCTCTCTGTACAGCGCTCCAGTTAGTAATCTGGCTGCTGATCTCTGAACCAGTTGTAGCTTCTGAACTGTCTTCAAAGGCAGCCCCACATAGAGAGCGTTGCCGTAGTCCAAACAGGATGTGACCAAGGCGTGGACTATGCAGTCCAGACTAAAAGGAATAAAATAATAGAAAAGGCAGTTTGTTAGTTTTAGGTAATATTCTGTGAGCAAGTCATGCTAAGTGTAATAAAAGCTCAATTTGGAAGCCCAAAGCAATAACTGAAGATCAGTTCATTTTCAGTATTAACTATATTTGACAATCTCAAATCCTTGGCAAAGAAAGCATTTTAATATTCAGTACAACCCCCATATCCACAGGGGATGTGTTCCCAGACCTTATGTGAATATGTAAGGAGCCCCCTGTGGCGCAGTGGGTTAAACCCCTGCGCCGACAGGACTGAAGACCGACAGGTTGCAGGTTCAAATCCAGGGAGAGGCGGATGAGCTCCCTCTATCAGCTCCATATTCGCATGCGGGGACATGAGAGTAGCCTCCCACAAGGATGATAAAAACATCAAAATCATCCAGGCATCCCCTGGGCAACGTCCTTGCAGACGGCCAATTCTCTCACACCAGAAGCGACTTGCAGTTTCTCAAGTTGCTCCTGACACGACAAAAAAAAGTGAATATGTGAAATAGCAGGTAATAGCAGACATTAATTTCAAAGGGAAGAATGATGGTGGTACTACAAAGCAGGTGAAACTTGCATAGAAGGCTTTAAGTGAATAAATGAAACCGTATATCAGCTCCATGGATGTGGCGATTGTATTGTATTTGCAAATAATTATATTAAATATTTTAAAGAAACTTTGCTTTCCACAATTATATATGTTGAATATTATAAGTAACTCTATTTTTAAGAATCTGTGGGAATGATTGAATGTAATCTCTCTTATATCTAAGAAGCTTGGTTTGGAGTTCAAAACTTTAATATAAAATTTATCTACATTTCCATCCAAAATAGGTCAAGAAAAGTTTTAAAAATGTGGCAATTCATGGACCAGTCTGATATTGAAACGATGCGGAGCTTGAAAGACGCTATGGCACAGCATGAATCATCCTTGGAATACAGAAAAGTTGTCAACAGAGCTCTGAATATACCCGGCTGTAAAGTTGTCCCTTTCTGTGGTGTCTTTTTAAAAGAACTCTGTGAAGTTTTGGATGGGGCTGCAAGTCTCATCAGACTTTGTCCTCAATATAACTCTCAAGATGAAACACTGGAGGTAAACTAACGAGAGAAAAAACGGTTGCAACTACAGGCAGTCTTCAAATTACAAACAAGAGAGGTTCTGTATGTTTGTTCTTAAGTTGAATTTTTATGTAAGTCAGAACAGGTATTTTTTAAATTGTAACTGCAGCCACAAATATATATAATTTTAATTTTGGACAGCATAAGAAATGGTTAACATCCTGTGACAATTTCTATGCTATCTGTGCTCCTGTTCAGAAGATTTCACCTCACTTTCTGTCCCTGTGAGAATCAGATTTTGAACATTTTGACTTGTAAAAACACAGATTGGTGAGAAAGCTTCAGTGGAGACACCGTTTCTCCATGATCACTCTATCAGAAGTGAATTTCCCTTCCGAGGGGTAGATTTGTCCCGCTTCCTTTTGTCTCACCACCGTTCTTAACTATGAGTTATATGTAAGTCAGATGTTTGTAACTTGGGGACTGCCTGTAGTGTCTAAAATTCTTATCTAAAATGTCTTTTATTTTTTTTAAATGCACAACATGGACTTTCTTTTAGTTTGTTGCAGAATATAGTGGGCAAGATAACTATTTGCAGCGGGTAGGCCGAGATGGCTTACATAATATGGAAAAGGAATCGGCAGCTAACTACATATTTCAGACAATTCGGAGCTGCAATCGTAGTTTGGAATCTGATGATGGAGAAGATAGTTTTATTGAAGATGAAGGTGGAAGTTCCAGAAGAAATTCTTTGAAGGACAGAAACCGCTATCTGTAAGTTTAGAAGAGATTGATATATGTGTAGGTCTGTGTGGAAGTGAAAGATTATATGTGTATGTCTGTATACAAGAGAAAGATTTTCAGATTACAAAATAAAGAATCTCAGTGGAATACATTCAATTGTTTCAGTTAATCATGGTTTGAACTTAACTTGTTTTCACTAACCATATTTCTTATGAATGATAATGGCAAACTGCAGAGAACAAACTAGGCTTGTTCTCTAATGCTAAATTATAGTGTTGGTTAGATCAATAAACTATTTTTTTCAGTTTTGTATACGTTTTCCGGATTTGAATATTCTTGCTATATAAAAATACCCAGTCTGTGTAGATGTGTTTTGTGTGTGTATAAATTTGTGTATATGTGTATACATGTGTGTTTGAGTATATATATATGTGGTTTTGTGCATGCGTTGTAATGTATATTTTGGTTTTTGGCTTTTTAAGTCACTTCTGCTATGTTTTTCAGTGTTTTTATGGTCACTCGTTGGCCTGATAGGTGTATTGTGTCCAAATGTGGTGTCAATTCACCCAGTGGTTTTTGAGTTATATTAATCCCACAAGCGAACATTACATTTTTATTTATATAAATTAATGATAAGAACACCCTTTTTTGCAAGTGTATATTTGACTGCAGTACTTCCCTTTCCAAACTTTTTCTCATAGTTATGCATGGAATCATAGCACTCAGATGCTTGGAATCCTTCTCATTAAATTTTATGTTCTCTCATGATGTAATTACTTCCAGGCAAAGCCCCTTCATCTTGTGCATGAAGCTTTCAGAAATGTACAGATACAACAAGGACTTAGTTAGTGATGCCAGGAATAGCACCATGGCATCTTTGTTGATCTTAGCTCAGAACATTATATCCTGTTGGAACAGTGTTCTGACCTAGTCAAAATAAAGGTTATTTATTATTGTTCCTAATCCCACTACTTTTAAGGACATGTTATCTGAGGTTCATAAATTATCTTAGGGAAATCTTATCGGAGGTAATAAACTCTTTGAATGTTCACCATAGAGCACAGTCTTTCAGCACAGGTGTTGTTTTAATTGTGACATATGGGGTAGCTCATGTTTTATGACCTCAGATCCCCTGTGTCTTTCTCTGTAGTGAGAGAAACCACTTAACATCCAGAACACCATTCCCATAAATGAAAGATATACCATTGACCCTATGTTTTCATGGATTTTGGATCCACAGATTTAACCATCAATAGGTTGTTGTGAGTTTTTCAGGCTGTATGTCCATGTTCCAGAAGCATCCTCTCCTGACGTGAGAAAATCACAACCCAGTGATTCGGGCCATGAAAGGTTTCAACAATACATTAACCATTCAATGCTTGAAAATATTCCTTCCCCACCAAAAAAAAAATTCCAAACAACAGATGTTATTTTGTCATTTTATATAGGGGTACCAATTTACTATGTCGCTGAAATGTAACAACAACATCCATAATAAATGTATTACCCACCTCTTCGTGTGGCTTGAGGTAGGGTACAACATGGTTTAAACAGAAAGATATAACACAACAATATTAAAATACATACAATAAGATACACACAAGTAAAATGCAGGTTAAAATTTGCAAGTTAAAATTGACTGGGTAGGCTTGCCCATTATATATAATGGGACCTGAGCCTCCAAGGATGGCCTTAGACTCTAATCCCAGAATACATCAAGGGAAAGAATTGTTGAAATTTTAATGGATCATATTCATTTTTGCTAGAGGTATAATCACAATGCGAATTATACTTGCTATGTGTGACAAGGAAAACATAGTTCATGAGTTGATATCTGTGAAATATTGTGGACTGCATTTTGGACCAGACCACGCAAGTTTGAATGCTTCCAGACAAGGTATTGTCTCTGGTGGCATTTTGCTAACAGCCAAACAGACACTGCAGATGGATCAATTTTCACTCCACATTACTCGCCCTCCATCTGCCATACATCTGCTCTGCAGGGTTATGAAACCTCCTGGAGCAGATTTGGGGTTAGTGAAGGTAAATACATGTGGGAGATAGGGATGAAAACAATAGAAAGTTTGCTTGACTAACATTAAATTTAGTCGAATTGACTTCCTTAAGACATGAAATTTGGCATCCCCATTTGTGAACTTCCATATTTTTTCTTATAAGAAATAATCTGTTAAGGAAATAAATACAGACTAGGGGCATAGTGTCATTTCTCTGATACTTCTAGTAGTCCACTATTTAAAAGTGTACACTATCTCTCTCAGCCTCATTTTATGAGACTGATGTAATTTGGCAAAGATATATTGCCATCTTCCTTGAACAAAAAAAAAAAGGAAATAAACTTCCTGTGTCTAACATACACTAACTGTTAATATGTAGAGCATCATTATTACTTAATTTAATAGACCCATTTTTATTTAAAATATTTCTGTAATGCCTGTGGGGCCATATAAACCTATCAAACATGTTTACGCAACATATTTATTTTTTATTAACTATATTTCTACCTGGCTCTTCTCATCCTGAAGGGGACTCAGAGCAGCTTACAGTTATGGCAAAATTCAATGCCGCATTACAAATACAAATAAACAAATACAACACATAAACACGAGTCAGCGAGAAAATTAAGAGAAGTCTCCACACAAAAAACTCTAAGAAATAAAACAAAAATCCCCACTAAAGCCTAGGAGGAACAGAGCTTGTCAATATCTCTCTTCAATTGTGGTGCCCAGAATTGGACACAATATTCTGCCTTGGTTAGACCACACCTGGAATATTGTGTCCAGTTCTGGGCACCACAATTGAAGAGAGATATTGACAAGCTGGAATGTGTCCAGAGGAGGGCGACTAAAATGATCAAGGGTCTGGAGAACAAGCCCTATGAGGAGCGGCTTAAAGAGCTGGGCATGTTTAACCTGAAGAAGAGAAGGCTGAGAGGAGATATGATAGCCATGTATAAATATGTGAGAGGAAGTCACAGGGAGGAGGGAGCAAGCTTGTTTTCTGCTTCCCTGGAGACTAGGATGCGAAACAATGGCTTCAAACTACAAGAAAGGAGATTCCATCAGAACATGAGGAAGAACTTCCTGACTGTGAGAGCCATTCAGCAGTGGAACTCTCTGCCCCAGAGTGTGGTGGAGGCTCCTTCTTTGGAAGCTTTTAAACAGAGTCTGGATGGCCCCTGTCAGGGATGCTTTGAATGCAATATTCCTGCTTCTTGGCAGAGGGTTGGACTGAATGGCCCATGAGGTCTCTTCCAACTCTATGATTCTATGATTCTAACAACAGAGAAGCCAGTGGCCCCAATCCAAGCTAAGCCCTGATGCAGTACTAAGTTGATGGTCAAAGGGGAGCTGGTTGGTAACATTCCCCAGTACTGTCCTATAAGGTATCAGTGACTTGAAGTAATTTTGGGCTATGGCTAGTTAGCAGCAACATCATGGCTCGACAGTGGGAAATGGCGAGGATGCTAGAGCAGCTCAGTCGCACCAACCCCTCCAGGTCGATGCTGGGCAGTGGGAGAGAAGACCAAGTGAAGCGCAGCTTAAGAAAGCCGCCAATCGGGTTGCAGCATTCGTTGCTCTCGCCAGTGGTCGGGTCTGCATGAGACAATAGGCGCCCCAATGGAATCAGGCCCTATTAAAACCCTATATCAAAACTCTAGCATAAAGAATAAAACACGTATTTAAATGTAACACTATTAACATATGCAGAACTCATTTAACAATTAATGTTTTGAAAACTTGAACCAGTTTCATATTATCTATCAAGGTTAATGCAAACTGCCCAGTCTTTAAAATCAATTTAAAAGAAAAATGCAGAATTTGCTGTGTCAAAGCGTGGCACATTGATCATATTGCCACTAAAAATACCTACCTGCTGTACCTGTCAGTTTGTTGATGACGTCCTAACAGTGGGAGCCCATGGCTGATCGTAGTATCCTGGAAGCAGATAAAAATAGAGATGATTCTTCAAATAATGTGGTACCAAGCTGTTTGGTTTTTTTTTAAGTTAACAGTACTTTGAACCATGTTACATAGCTTTTTCAAAGGCAGTCTCACACAGAATGGATGTCACTATGTATTGTCGAAGGCTTTCATGGCTGGAATCACTGGATTGTTGTAGGTTTTTCAGGCTATATGGCCATGTTCTAGAAGCATTCTCTCCTGACGTTTCACCTGCATCTATGGCAAGCATCCTCAGAGGTTGTGACCTCACAACCTCTGAGGATGCTTGCCATAGATGCATGCGAAACGTCATGAGAGAATGCTCTAGAACATAGCCATATAGCCCGAAAAACCTACAACAATCTGATGTAACTATGCATTGAGAACTCAGCAGGTGAATCAAATAAAGCTTAGACAAGGCAGCTTCCTAACCACCAATGCCACCTTATTCATTCATTACCTGTTCCATAAGTGAAGAGTACGCTTTCCATCTAACATCACTCAAACTCCTTTGTGCAGAGCAGCAAATTTCTCTACTCACGGGGGACTTCTGGTGTAGTATAATGGAGGCTGGCTGGATACTCTGAGAGCTCTCTGAGTGTCAGCCTGTTTGCGATCAGGTAGAGTGTATAACTCCCTCTTTTCTGGTGGATTGAGGCCAAAAAGGACTGCAGGATCCACAGGGTGCTGAACCGATGGTTTGAGAGATTCTCTCCCTTCAAGGGTGGCATCTCAGCGACCCAGATGAGGTGCCCACAGCGTATAGCGGATCGCAACAGGGCGAACTTGCACCCCAGTGGAACAGCCGACCTGCGCACATTTTAAATAAGCAACATGTTTTAATGTTGAGAAACTCTGATGAGAAGAATCCTGGACTGCAATTCAGGATTCATTCTGTGCAAAGTTCACACATTATTTTGCATAGAAAACAGCATTCTCTGAGCACAAACAAATTTTCTACACAGAAAAGATTTCTACACATAAATATTATTTCCTAGACTGAAAATTCTGCTACCTGTGCATAAAGCGTTGTGAACTTATTCCATGCAAAATTTACGTATGGGTGATTTGCAAAAAAATGACATTTCTGTGGAGAGAGTAATGTTTCTTGCACAGAAAACGCTATTTTCTGTGCAAATTTTCCATGTAAAATATAAGTCCCAATTTTTGAATAGGCTGTGTTGTTTTCTACAAATTTCTCATGGTGAGAAGGAAAATTTAAAAACTTCAAAAAACCATATGTGTCCCATTCTCCATTTCAAAACTCCTTTGCATCAGAGGCAAGGTAGAGGCTACTTTAATAGGAAATAGCATCATTACCTTTAATTTGTTCTCCTACACTTAGGGTTCTGGAACAGTATATGCAAGGAATGGTTGTTCTTGGACCCTAGAGGAAATAAAAGCTGTAAGGAAATGTGGCAAGGGGAAGCAACTGGCAGGGGAATAGAGGAATATAATTATCTTCCTGTTCTAATTAATTGTAAAGCAATTTCCCCATTCATCATCTCAAGGAGGAACTGTAGGCAATTACTAAATTTACTTGAGTATAACAAGCCATCGATTGTAATGTGCACCTCAATTTTGAAGGTACATATTGCAAAAAATAGATTTCTTGTTGAATGTAATGTGCAGCTTCTTCGTTTCTGTCAGCCACCCATCTCAGAATTTTCCAGTCTCAGCCTTATGGACGGCCAGCAGCTTCTCAACGAAACCCTCATTCACGAGGCCTTCAAAACCGAGGGGGAGGTTTTGAAGGCCTCGTGAATTAGGTCTGTTGGGAAGCCATGCCCCTCCATCAGGCTGAGGCCACAGGGGGTGGGAAGAAAGACTGCTGGACACAAGTGGTTGATAAGTGTAGAATTGGGATTGGTAAAGTTATATAAATAAGATACATTATATTGAGCGAAAAGGAATTTCACTATCAAGATTTGTATTACTTGACTTGTGACTACAATAAATAAAAAAAAATTAAAAACCTGTGCAATTCTAACATGCCATCAAATCTAATGTGCACCTCACTTTTGGCTATGCAATTTAGCCAAAAAAGGTGAGCATTAGATTTGAGTAAATATGGTAGTAGTTTAGCCTTTGACACTTTTGAGTTCTCACATTTAAATCTCAAGAAATATGAAGGCTAGGTGAGTGGAGAAAAGAACACTAGTTACCAAAGTAAATGACTTTACCATAATTTTAAAAATAAAGTAAACCAATCCTAAGTCTTACTGAATAACTAAAACAATGTCCAGTAAACTAATGCCCATTGTGTTCTAAATGTACCTATTCACTCTTAATATGTCCATGAAGTCATCCTTGCTTCCTGAGAAAACAGTTTCAAATAGAATTGTTATCATCTGGCATTTATTGCTTCTGGACTGTTGAGTAATTTCTGCTGCCAAGTCAGTCTGTGACCTTATTTTTTGTCACGTCACCCCGATGTCTGTTTTAATACAGTTTTTTTGTACAGAAATAATCTATCTCTCGATGTTGCTTTCGTTTGGCACTGGAAAATCTCATTTTTAGGAATAAAATTTCAAACCCCTTAAAATCTGTGAAAATATATTCTGTTTCCTTTTTCAGTTAAGGAAAAGCAAATGCGACATATTTCAGAACTAAAAGTCAGGTCTTTCTCATCACCTTTCCAAAGATAGATGCCTGGGCAACTATTATTGCTCTGTGGATTTTTTTTGTCATTTGATTAATTACAGCCCCATTTGTATTAAGGGAGTCAGTGGGATGGGTCAGTGGGTTGGGTCCAGAGGCTGCTTTCTGTGAATGGAAGAGCTCTTCTTACAAAAAGTGCTTCCATCTAATTCGTTCTGAATCTTTCCACTCCTCACACCCTTATTTTAGCTCACTCCATTCATTGAAGTCCCCTTGCCTTCTGTGTAGCATTTTCATGCAGCTGGAGAGGCTGGTGTGGAGAGGTCCACCCTGGAAGCACATTTGCATGTGCCTATATCTAGATCCAGCATCCTATGAGATTGGTATTTGCACTTGACTACTTGACAGAAGTTGCACTGTCTGTTTTCTATATTCCTTATCTAAGTTACTCATTACCCTTGCTTATATCTCCATCTGGCTTACAGCTGTCTTCCGATTTGTTGGGCAGTTTATGTAAAATCCAGTAATACTAACCAAATATTTTATTTTTTTATAAGTTCATGTACTTTACACTGATGTTAGCTCACAACAAGAAAGCATGATTCAGTCTTCCGTGATTGGAAACCATTGGTGGCCAATTAGTCTTTAAAATTGTATTAGTGAGGTTTGTGGTTGCTATCCAAACTGCAGTGGCCAGATGGAAATCATAATTCAAGCAATGGCTTTCTAGAAGCAAAAGGTGGTGATGGAAAGATTCCAGAAATGATCAGGAGATCATAATAAGCACTTCAAAATATAGCAGAGTGGTTTGGTAACTGTCCAAGTTGCAGCGCCTGGTTTCAAATGAGAATTCCAAATGGTGGGTTCTTAGAAGAGGAAGAAATGGAGGTGGAAGATTGCAATATTTTTTTGGAAAATCTTTTTTGAAGGATAGTGTCCTCTGTGGTAGAACTGCTAAGATTCCTTTAGGTAACAAGGCAGAAATAGCAGAAGGCTAAGTCGTTGCTGCCTGAGATATTATTATTATATTGATTTATACCCCGCTTTATCTTTCACAAAGGAGACTCAAAACGGCTTAATATAAAAATGTTAGCCTACAATTTAAAATATGAAAATATGCAAACATTAAAACAGAATTAAATATAAAAAGTATTAAAATATTCAGTTAAAAACTATTAAAACATATTCAGTTAAAAACCACAGCAACCCCTAAATTGATCATTAAAAACCTCCTTCTTTAAAAGCCTGTCTGAATAAAAATATTTTAGCCTGCCGCCAAAAGGACATCAGGGAGGGGGCCAGTCTAACTACCCTGGGCAGGGAGTTCCAGAGTTGAGGGGCAGCCACTGAGAAGGAAGACCCGCTCCCTCGTTCCCCCCCTCCCCCAACCGGGCTTGAGATGGAGGTGGAACCAAGAGAAGGGCCTCTCCCGAAGATCTCAGGGCCTGGCTAGGTTCATACAAAGAGATGTGGTCAGCCAAATAACCTGAACCTGAACTGTATAGGGCATAACTAGCACTTTGAATTGTGCCTGGAAACAGACTGGCAGGCAGTGGAGTTATTGGAACGAGGGGTTGTCTGCTCCCTGTAGCCAGCCCCAGTTAGTAACCTAGCTTCAGCTCTTTGGACCAGCTGATGTTTCCAAGCACTCTTCAGAGGAGGCTCCACATAGAGCGTGTTACAGTAATCCAGACAGGATGTAACTAAGACATGTACCACTGTGGCCAGATCTGACTTCTCAAGAAACGATTGCAGTTGGTGCACAAAAGTTTTATTTGTGCAAAGGCCCTCCTGGCCACTGCTGATACCTGGACTTCCAGGTTCAACTCTGAGTTCAGGAGGATCCCCAAACTGCAAACCTGTGTCTCCAGAGGGAGTGTGACTCCCATGCATCACAGGCTGGATCCCTATTAAAGAAGGATGGGAAATGAACTCACTCCAAAAGCTCTCTGACATATATTAGAGCTGCATCTGGTCAGTGTGGATGCGATTCAGCTAGCATATAATGAGAATCTAAACTATATTCCAGAGAAACTACAGAAGACCTATTCCTAATTTGTGTGGAACTTTTAGGTGCAGTCATATTGTCAACCAGAATTTACCAGAGTTCTCTCTTTCAAGGCAACACTATATTAGGTTTTCATTTCAGTTGGGTTTGCTATTATCCATGGTGTCCTGTTTCCATGGCCAGTTTGGGAACATCACTGGGAGCAGTGATACAATTGCAATGTGCAACATCTGGTAATTAAAAAACCCCAGACATCAATCACATACCATGTATTGTTGAAGGCTTTCATGGCTGGAATCACTGGGTTGTTGTAGGTTTTTTGGGCCATAAGGCCATGTTCTAGAAGCATTCACTCCTGGCATTTCACCTGCATCTATGGCAAGCATCCTCAGAGACCTCACAACATAACAATGAGCATGTGCAAGATAAAAATTAAGATACTAAAAATACTAAAATCAGGATGAGATAGGGATGGAGCAGATTGTGTATGTTTGGTTGGAAAATCTATATAATGAAGTAGTTTTCTTTCTGAGGATGCATGCTAATTGAACATTTGTTATAACTTGGTTTCCATACAGGTTTATAACTGGAGATCTATCAGATTCTGAAAGCGATCTATTTGAGCAATCCAGAGAATGGACCCCACCAGCAGCCGAAGAGCAGCAGCAAGCGTTCTGCCACGGAATAGAACTCATTCCCTGGTATGTTCTGTCAATTAGAGCTGATGTCCATCAGTTCCTGCTGCAAGGTGCAACCGTCATACGTTATGACCAAGAGACACATTTTTCAGCACGATGTTTCCTTCAGCTTCAACCTGACAATAGTACATTGACATGGATGAAACCTACCACTGCTTGCTCTACAAATTCAAAAATGAGACTAAGTATGCTCGGTACCACTGCTGAACTTGGGAAATTTCAATTTCTTGGCAATACTGGAATAAATGGATTGGTGGAGGGCTGCTTGGACCTGTTCTCAGCAAAAGCAGTGTATATGGGGCACCCTGGCATTGATATGCATTCTGTGTGCATTCAGAATAAACTTTGCAATATGTCTCTTGAAGAGAATGGTGTGACACTATTATATGGACTTCAAACTACTGAAAATAAGTTGCTGCACTTTGTGGCTCCAAAATATACTGCCAAAATGCTTTTTGATGGATTGCTGGAATTAATTTGTGCTACAAGGAAGATGAAGAAATTCCCTGATCAGAGACTACAATGGCTGCGAAAACAATATGTCAGCCTCTACCAGGTAAAATAATGTGATTATCTCACGAATGGAGCATAAGCTCCGACTGAGCTTATGCAACCATTCCTTCTGTACTTATCATCACTGGTGTCTTGGTTTTCTAAGATGCTTCAGTATCAGTCAATTCAGGTTAATTGGTGTCTGTAAGAGATTTACGTGAACATCGGTACAGAAACTGAACATGAAATCATTCCCTTCACAATGCCATCAGAGAAGGGGTGGTTTGTGAAAAGAGAGTGCCAGAACTTTACTGTCCAGCCCTGCCAAGTTATCAGTTTCCAGAAAGCTGAGTGTTGTGTTACTTAATGGCAGTGATTCTCATCCATTGAAAAATCCCCTTCAAAATGTTTTGGCTCTGCAAATCTTGCAGTAGTGTGAGATTTTGTAGTAACCTGCAACACTTTAGCAGGCCTTACAAAGGTCTTCAGCATTCTCAGCTGTACTTTTTGGATGGATTTCCAGTTTGACTCAGAGTATCCCAAGGCTAGTGAGACATGAGGTTGTTTAAGTTTATTTTCCTGGTTAATTTTTGTATGTTATTAAGTTTAAAGTTAGGCTTTTTATATTGTTTGATGTGTTTTATTTTGATGTAATTTTTATATGTTTTCTTGTGGGCATTGAAAGCTGGGCATATATGTTGGAAACCGCCCTGAGTCCCTTCAGAGAGACAGGGTGATCTATAAATAAAGTTATTATTGTTGTTATTATCATTATTCTGACACAAAAACACAGAATGTCACAGCAAAAGAGATATACAGGGTGAGGAAGCATAACTTCCTTTTTTCAAAACTTAATAAAACCCATTGTATGAATCAGATTTTTTTAAAAAAATTTTTTTTATAATGTAGGCACATACCTAAAGTTTTGTTTTACGTAGTTTCAAAGATCAAATTAGGTAGGTGACGTCCCCCATTCTCCATTCGCCATACACTGAGTAAACCGATTTCTGGCATTTGTCATGATTCTTGCCAGCATAGCAGGCATTATGTTGGCAATTTCTTCCTGGATGTTGGTCTTCAAATCTTGTAGGGTCCTTGGATTGTTCACATAAACACGGGATTTCAAAAAACCCCATAGAAAAAAATCACAAGGGGCCAAATCTGGACAGCGGGCCGGCCACTCCAAATCCGCTCGAAAAGTAGGCCTTAATGGCAAAAGCATGCTCCTCACTGTTCCAACACATGATGGCGACTGAACTATGTCAGGACAAAACTTTATACTCCTGCCTTTCGAACGAGACCACTAGCGCTCCGCTACGTCTTCAACCAACTGAATGGCACGCATTTTAAAAAAGGAAGTTATGCTGCCTCAGCCTATATATGCTGGATTTCGTATCACAAAATCACAAATTGAACACTTCCCAAGCATCTAGGACTGTGTGATGTATTATTATTATTATTATTATTATTATTATTATTATTATTATTATTAGTAGTAGTAGTAGTAGTAGTAGTAGTAGTAGTAGTATAACAGGTTATTCTTCTCAGATAAAAATAATAGTTTAGACTTTTTGGGAGATCAAATTTAGGACAGAAAAGAAATTAGATAAAGGAAGGTGATCTATACTTAATTCTAAAAGCCCATAGAACTGACTTCCATTTGGAGGTGAAAAGATACCAGTCATAGATTGAGACTGAAGTTCCATGTCCATTTCCTTCTCCAAGGAACAAAGAGTCTAGCTTTCTGAAGAAAGGGGAAGAGGACTCAAAAGGTAAGAAGAAAGCAAAGGGCTTGAGCACATGGTGAGATACACACACACACACACACACAAACACACATATATACATAAAGATGAAACAAACACCAAGCCATACATGTCCCATATCCGAATAATAATAACTTTGTACAAGAATGGAGGCCTCTTTGCTTCCAACAAGCATTTGGGTTATTTTCACTTTTTCTTTGGATTGTAATGATATTTAGACTTGGTTCTTATTCTGATTTTGCAATTGGAGTTGTTTTTAGCTTCTCATTCTTTTTGTGATCTGTATTTTTTCCATTTTAATAAAGCTGAGGACTCTTTTATTAGGAGGATGGCCGATATGAAGGCCCAACCTTGGCCCAAGCTGTTGAATTATTTGGAGGGAGACGCTGGAGTACGAGAAACACAAGCCCAGGAAACCTGATGAAAAGTGTAGAGAAACCAGGTGTGCAAAGAAACAACACTCTTGGAATCAATACAGTCAAGAAAAAGAAGAAAGTACTCATGAGGGTAAATATTCTGTTATTTAATATTGAATTGCTTGGTAAATTAAGTTCGTTCTGTGTTTCCTGCTTAATTAACCGCACTCAGAGAGAAAATCGTTATTAATAGAAATACTGAATTGCCATTTATTTCCATTTCATTTATTTAGAAGTGTAGTTTTTTTGTGCGCACACATCATAAAGACAGAATTTTGTCTGGATTTTAAATTAAACCAGAAATAAAGCATGCTGGGTGGTATTTTTGACTTCTAAGTTGGTCTTTGTATTATAGAGCCCCAGAGGAAGGGAAGTATCATACACAGAGTATTTTTGACTCTTCAGAAAATATCACTTCTCCTAACTCCCAAAAAAGGCATTCATTTGCAAGGCAGATTCAAGTCAAAGAAAACCTCTGAATAGGCTAATATTATTCAGGATAGGAGCTGGTAAAAACAGCGTTTGAAATGCTCCTGGGGCATGGGGAAATTTTTAAATTTAAATGTGCATCTTTTGAAAAGATTATAATACCTAGCGGGAGGAGGAAATGCTACGATCCAATATCATGTTCAAACATTCAGATTAACCTTTTGAATGTTTCTGCAGTGGTTTCCCTTTCTCCTTGATTGTAGTTCTGTAATTGCAACAACTATATTTTGAGAAAATAATGGAATATTTTTGAATACAATAATTGTCAGTATTTTAAGTAATACGTTTAAAGACTTCATGATGTTGCAAGGGAAATTAGTGAAAACAACATTTCTGACTCCTTGCTTTTTGTGATATATTCTAATGTACAAGACAGTTTACAGTTTAGGCATTTGAATGATAAGTCCAATATAGCGCTACAAACTACTATCCCATTGTTATCATATTTCCTCCCTGATTGAACAAAAAATACATTTTACTCAAAACATTCTGCATCAGAATTGATTAAGAATGAAGCCCAAATTCTTAATCTGACTGAGTACATCGAGGAAGGATATGACAAAGGTTGCATTATGGGAACAGATCAAAAGATAACCTGGCAAAATGGCATTACCTAGAAGAATCCTCCACCTTGTGTGACTGTGGAGCAGAACAGACTATACCGCATCTGTATGCGGAGACTGGATTCTGATTTTACTGTTGAGGCGCTAATGATTGTTATATGGATGTTTAATGATTTATGTTACAATTGTTTTTAATTGCCCTATACTTGTCTCGTGATGTTTTGTATTGATGTTGTTCACCGCTTTGAGTTGCCTGAGGGCTGAGAAAAGCGGTATATAAATAAAGTAAATAAATAAATAAATAAATATGCTTGTCCACAATGTCCTGCTTCATGCACAAAGGAGGAATAGTTCAAAGCTACAGACAATGCGGTCGCTGTGTCCCGTTTTTTGGTCAAAATATATTTAGTGGCTTGTGCTTCTTCTATTTTTACCAGTGTTATACTTATGTAAGGAATCTTTTTATATGAAATTTTAAAAAATAGAATTGCTCAATGAAATTAGAAAGACACCGGATTTTTTTTTAAAAAATGAACTGGTACTCTTGCATGGGGACAGTAGCATTGAGGGTGTTTATTTTTTCATCCTTCTCTCTGTTGTTATTATCCTGATGAAAATGTACAGTATGACCACCCACCCCCCAATACCTACAGGACTGGTTCCTGAGCTTCCTTCAACTCAAATCTGACATAATTTGTCCTCTCTAAGAATTTTCTAGTTCTTCTTTTTTTTTTATTGCAAAAGATTTTAATATATACAACATAAAATGGGGCGTGGGGGGTGCGAAAGGGGATAAGAGGTGGGGGTGGGGGGGGCTGAGAGGAGGGGAGGAGGTGTGGGGGAGGGTTGAGATTGGAGGGGGTAGGGGAAGGGGAAAGAAGAGAAGGGGGGAAGGGGAAGGGGATTGTCCCAGAGTGGGTTGACTTCCCATAGTCTTCAAAGGTAAGAGTCTTTTGGTATTGTTTTCTTGTGAAAAAATAATACGGCGTGACTTAAGAAAGTTTAGTATTTCTCTCAGATGTTGGCTAGGTCAATTGACAGCGTTAATTTCTTGTTTGTTTCTATGTATTTCTTAAAGCCCGTCCAGTTTGTCTTCTTGGATGAGTTGTTTAAACGTTGTGATAGACAGTCCATTTGGATTATTTCAAATGACTTTAAGATCCAATCTTCTGTTGCGGGTATTTCTTTTTTTTCCCATAGTTTGGCTAGCGTTATTCTAGCTGCCGTGCTTAGTAGAAAAAATAATTTGTCCTGGTTGGCATTAAATTTGGGAAAGGAGATACCTAAAAGATACAATTCTGGGAGTTGTGGGAAATTGATATTTAGTATTTTTTGTATAGCTAAGTGTATTCCTCTCCAGTATTTCCTAACCTTTTTGCACGCCCACCATTGGTGGAAGTATGTTCCTGTCTCTTTTTGGCACTTCCAACATTTATTTGAAAAGTTTTTACTGAATTTAGAGATTTTCACTGGTGAGTAGTGCCATCTGAAAAACATCTTATGCCAATTTTCTTTAAGATCGCTTGCTACTGTGTATTTTAATTTGGAGTTCCATATTTCCTCCCATTGTCTTGTTAAAATGTTATGGCCTATATCTTTGGCCCATTTTACTTGACAATCCTTAATTTGTTCGTCTTCCGTTTCCCAGCCTAGCAGTTGTTTATATGCTATTTTAATTAGTTTTTTTCTTTTTGCAATATTGTTTCCCAAAATCCTTGTTTCCGACAGAACCCTATCTTTTCATCTTTTTTAAAGTGTTGGAATAGTTGGTGGTGTTGTAACCATGTGAATTTGGGGTTCAAATGTTTTATTTCCTCTATAGATTTTAAGTATAATTTTTGATCCTCGCCGACTTTCAGAATTTGGTTATAGGTTAGCCATTTTTCACCGCCTATCTCTCTCTTGTGTAGCGCTTCGATTGGTGAGATCCACATGGGGGTTTTATTGTAGAGTCGTGGTTTATATTTCTCCCATGTTTTAATTAGGGCAGCCCTTATGTAGTGGTTGTTGAAAGATTTTTCTATTTTTCTTTTGTCGAACCAAATATATCCATGCCATCCTAATCTGAGGTCTGAACCTTCTAATGCTAGTAATTTGGGGTTTTGGAGGGTGCACCATTCTTTGATGGCAACTAAATTACACGCCTCATAGTACAATTTTAAATTTGGTAGTCCTAAACCACCTCTTTTTTTTCATCTGTGAGAATTTTATGGCTGATTCTTGCTTTTTTGTTTTTCCAAATGAATTTGATGATGTCTGACTTCCATTTTTTGAAGAGGAAGTCATTCCTAATAATCGGTAACGATTGAAAAAGGAATAAGATTTTGGGAAGAATATTCATTTTTATGGTGGCAATTCTACCTAGTATGGAGATATTTTGGTGTTTCCATTTTTCCAAATCTGCTTTGATGTTTTTCCATAGGGCTTCATAGTTGTTCTTTATTAAATTGATATTACTTGGCGTTATAGTGACACCTAAATATTTTATTTTATTTTCGATTTTTATTCCAGATTTGTCTTGTAATAGGTCTTTAGATTTTTTATCCATGTTTTTGACTAACATTTTGGTTTTGTGCATATTCAATTTGAATCCGGCCAGATTTCCAAAGGTTTCAATTTTCCTTATCCAATTGTTTATACTTACCAGAGGGTCCTCTACGATGCAAACCACGTCGTCGGCATAAACTCTAAGTTTGAATTGGTGTTTCTTGATTCTTATTCCCTGTAGCTTTGGATCTTCATTTATGTTTTTAATCAGTGTATCCATAATTAGTATAAACAACAGTGGCTAGAGTGGGCACCCTTGACGTGTGCCTTGGCAAATTTGGATAGGAATGTTTGATTCTTGCCCGTTTATAATGAGAGTGGCTTCTTGCCTTGTATATATTGCCTCTATTGCGTTGTAAAAATTGTAACCAATGTCAATTTCTTTTAGTAAGAATTTTAGATAATCCCAATTAATTTTATCGAACGCCTTTTCGGCGTCAATAAATAAAAGGGCGAGCTGTTTCTCGTTATGTTTTTCATAGTACTCAGTGGTGTCTATGATTATGCGAGTGTTGTCCTTTATTTGTCTATTGGGCAAGAAACCTGTTTGGTCTTCAGATATCCAATTTTTAAGTAATTTTTTAAGTCTGTCTGCCATAATACTGGTGAAGATTTTGTAATCAGTATTTAGGAGGGAGATGGGTCGGAAATTTTTTATCTCCGTTGGGTCTGTGCCCTCTTTGTGGATCAACGTTATGTTGGCTTTTTCCCAAGATCTAGGGATTTTTTTTATCTTCTAAGACATTATTTAATATTTCTTGCAGCAGGGGACCCAATTCATCCTTGTATTTTTTGTAGAAGATGGCAGTGAAGCCGTCAGGGCCAGGAGCCTTATTGTTTTTTAATTTTTGGATTGCCGTATCGATTTCTGCCATTGTGATGGGTCCATTAATCATTTCTCTTTGTTGTTCAGAGAGTTTTGGCAGATTCGATCGGCTTAAATATTCCGTGATTTGTTCTTTGGGTACGTTGGATGTTTTATATAATTCTTTATAAAATTTGGTGAATTTATTTTGAATGTCATTGCCTTCTGTGTAGATTTTCCCTTCTGACTGAATTTTTGTGATCAGTTGTTTTTGTTTTTGTTCTTTGAGTTTCTTAGAGAGCCATTTTCCAATTTTGTTGGCGTTTTGGAAATAGTTTAGTTTTAAATATTTCATTTGGTTGTCTAGTTTGTCGGTTTCTAATAGGTCTAATTGTTTCTTAAGTATCTCTATATTTAATTTTGCTTTCTTATTTTGGGGGTTCTTTTTAAGTTTTTGCTCCTCTTTTTCAAGTCCCTTTGAGATTTTATTAAAATCTTTATTTTTATTTGCCCTTTGGATGGAGTCTTGTTGAATGAGATAACCTCTCATCACTGCTTTCATTGCTTCCCATTGTGTAATCTTAGATGTTTCCTCTCCTCTATTCAGTTGCAAATATTCTTGTAACAGTTTCCTGTTTCTCTCAATATCTTTTTCCTTTCTTAGGAGATGTTCTTTTAGCCTCCATCTGAATGAGGGTTCTTTTCCCTTTATGATTAGTTCAAGTGCGCAATGATCCGAGAATAATCTAGCCATAATTTTTATGCTTTTTAATTTTAAATTTAAGGTGTTTGAGGCCCAGGCCATGTCTATACGGGACCAGGAGTTGTGTCTTCCTGAATAATATGTGTAATCTTTCTCTGGCCCTTTAGTGCATCTCCACATGTCTACTAGATTCAAATTTTCTAAGTGGGATATAAACTTTTTTGGTAGTGTGCCTGATTTGTTTTTGCCTGACTTCTTCCCTATTTCATCGCAAGTTTTATCTAATTTTGTGTCTACTACCCCATTGAAATCCCCTATTAATAATAGCTCATCATATTCTTGCTGTTCTATTAGTCTTAAAAGGTCTTTCAGAAATTTAAGTTTCGGACCATTTGGGAAATAAGTATTGCAGAGCAATATTTTTTGGTTGTATATTTCAATTTTTATTCCCACAAATCTCCCATCATTGTCTTTAAAAAGTAATTTTGGATTCAGCCATTCTTTGGCATAAATTACTACTCCTCTTTTCTTTTCGCTTCCGGAGGAGATGAATTCTTGGCCCAATTTCCTATTTGTTAGGTGTTTCGTGTGTCTGTCCGCGATATGCGTTTCTTGGAGAGCTATGATGTCCAGGTTTCTTTGCTTTAGATAATTAAAGACTTTCTTTCTCTTACTTTGGGAGTTCAGTCCATTGGAGTTATTTGAGTAGATCTTTATTGTCTTATTCATTAGAGTTGTCCTGCATCTCCCATTGTGCCACCTCTTGGGGTAGAAGTAGCTGATAGTTCTCAGGTGAGAATTCCCTTAATCTCTTTTGTTCTCTCTCTCTATGTTCCTTGCCTGCGTTGTAGTGTTTGTTGTATTCAATTTCTCCTTCCTCTTCCGTCCCAAATCCTTTCCTTGTCTCTGTTACGTTCTCGTCATTGAGTGACTTTTTCCTAGTTTCTTGGTGTTTCCTCTGGGATGAGTCTTCTGTTTGTCTTTTTATGTGGTTTAGGTAAAAGGCCTTTGCCTTTTCTTCCGTGTTGAGCCAGTATCTGTTGTCGTTATAGGTCACAGTTAGTCCCTCAGTTTTCTCCCACCTGAACTTGATTTTCTTTTTGATAAGTTCTTCTGTTAAGAAGGTATATTTCCTGCGTTTCGCTAGTGTATGTTGGGAAACTTCTTTCATAATTATCACTCTTTTGTCCTTGTAGTAGATGGGTTTCTTGGCATTTTCTTTTATTATTTCGTCTCGAGTACTTTTCCTACAGAAACTCACTACGATGTCTCTGGGTGTGTTGTTTCGTTTGGCATAACCTGAGGGTACTCGGTATGTTCTGTCTACGTCTTGCCCAATTATTTCTGCGTCTACGTTCATTAGTTCTGCTAATAGTTCGATTATTGTCGTTTTCAAGTTTTCCCCTTTTGTTTCTTCTAGATTCCTCAGTCTTATTTGATACTCTAGTTCCCTGTTCTCAAGTGATTCCATTCGTTGTTGGATCTGAGTCTTCTAGTTTGTTCATTTTGTAGTCCCATTTTCCTTGTGTTTTGATTATTTTTTGGTTTTCTTTTTTCAGGTTGTCCATATCTATTTGCAATTTGCTTATGTCTTCTTTCAGATCTGTCTTAATCTTCTGGATTTCCTGTTGTAGTTCCTTATGTTGTGTGTCCTGTTTAGTGGACAAGTTTTTGATTTCCGCCAGGATGACTTGGAGAATGGATTCTTCAGACACTGAGTCTTTTTTTGTTTGGGCAGTGGTTTGGGAGAGTAGCTGGTTCTGAGACTTGGCAGATTGAGTTGCCTTCACTTTCACATTAGGGGTCGCCATTTTTGGCTTTTCTCTTCTTTGTTATTGTTATTTACTATATTATTTTGCTTGGTTCTTAATTTTATTTTTTATGTTTGTTTTAAACGATAATATTCCTTGATATCCTTTGGTATTCTTTAGTTAATGCTTATGCTTGTATATATGTAAATATTTGTGGTCTCACCTCTATGTCCTTGGCGTTGTTTTCTTTTTCTTTCTTCTTTCTTACCTCTACTCTCTGTCGCTTATTCTGTTCTGCTGGCTCTTCCCGTTTTCCCTGCTTCCGCCCTTCCTGGTCTTTACTTCCTTGTTCTCTTTACTTCTCGCGATTTTACAACTCTCGTCTTCTTTGCTCTTCTCGCGTTGTTTCCCTTGGGAGTCCCCTGGGCACGCGAGATCTGCCGCAAGAACAGTGGCGAGATGGAGCAAGATAGCACGTCTCGGGGGGGGGGACGCGTTGTCTGCTCCCTCCTCCTCTTCTCTCTCCCCTGCACGTGTTTGCTCCCTGCCTCTGGTCAAGGACGCCTCTCCTCCGCTCTGTTCCCCGTAAGGACCTGGCGTGTTCAAGGTCAGTAAGATTTCTTATCTAGTAGTTTTAAAGTTTGAGCGGGGCAGCAGCCGGCTTTTGTTGTCTTTTAGAGAGAATGGAGGGCGAGGAGAAGGGGGAAGTAGTTTTATCCAAACTTTGTCCTTTGGGTCAAGCTTGATCCTTTCTATTAGCCTTATATTAAAGAGAGAGTTAATGCATCTATAAGTCTCCTTTTGCTTCCTTGATTGAGTCTCCTTCTGGGAGTCTCTGTCCTAATCGTCACTAGAGGTAATTGGATCCGTTGCTTCTCTCACTTACCGCAGCCCGCTTTACCTATGGGGAGTTAGGGTCCTTTCGGCGCCTCTCTTCAGAGACGTCTTTGGGAACCCTTGATTGCCCCTGTTGGTTATGCTGTCCCTCAAGGAGGGAGGGAGCATGTGTTCTCTGCTCTACCCGACTGCGGCAGTGTAAACACAAATAATCCGGGATATCGTAGGTATCGGACTTTCAGACTAAAAAGTTGCCGAGGTTAAATCGGTCTATAATTACCTTTGTAATAGCTGTTTTCCTCGTTGTTTTTATTTCTTTGTTGTCTGTAATCCTTGCTGTCTGTATGTTCTGCGGTCCGGCAGCTGCGTGGTGTTCAAAAAGCACTGCATAGGCGTTTATTGTTTTATTGCTGTTGTCAGCGTCCGTGGATCCCTTTGAAGATTAATGTCTTTAGTGCCTGAAGGCAATTACCTTCTTCTCTTACCGTCCTCTTGTTTCTGCTCTGAAGCTGAAGCTGGAGGCTGTGGAGGAGAGTTGGCACCATAGGTGCCTTGCCTTGGAGATGAGCCGCTCCCTGGGGGTGTTGCGTTGCCGGGTGTTTTTGGGATCCTCCTTGAGGGGGGAACCTCTTAAACACCGTCGGCCGTCTCCCCAATGGATCTTTGCCTCTACGGCCTTCGACCACCAGTTAGAGGAGGGCGAGTTCCCCTCAAGCTCATCAAACCAGGCGATCTCCCACTGAGAGCTAGAGAGATCTGTCCTCCATCTTTCAGTCCCCAACCGGAAGTCCTCCAATTTTCTAGTTCTTCTAGGCAATTTTATGGTATGCTTCTACCAGAAGTTATCATACAATTGCCCTGGAGGACCTAGGAAATCATTGAGAGGATGTGCTATTATTCATGATTTCCTGTTTGAATAGTAAGTTGAGGAACAAATCCCCTGTGCATATGGAGTTAGTATTATACTCCCAAACTATTTTTTTTTCCATCTTGGGTAAAAGAGCAGATTTTTTTCTCTAGAAGAATAAACAGAAGTTTGGGGGATTTTAACTGGAAGTGTAGTACAGAGGAAAGTTTTGTGTCCCAACTCATACAATTCTTCATGCCCTGGAGCTACATACAATGTAGACATTTTTATTAATGGAGTCTAGTTACTTGTGTTACTTGGTATATAAGTTGAGCTAATAATACTTTTCTTCCACGTGCAACTTATATTATTTTGTGTTAGTAGACAATGACTTTTTAAAATAAATTGAGAAAATTAATGTTGCTTGAAATGTCTTTTCTGTTCAAAATGTTTATTAAAGTCACTATTTGCAGGGTGAAAGTGGAGATGGCACTGATGATGAGATGGCAACTCGAAAAGCAAGAACTTTTAAGGAAAATCGGAGCAGAAGCGGTTCAGACCCTCAAGATATTGATGAGCAAGAGGAAGCAGGTACTGCATCATTATTTATTTTGACCAAAATCTAAAATAATATACAGATGTTAGTTCCCCCTCCTCATGTTCTGTCTAAATGGTTTCTCAGCTGCTTTTAAGGTTGGGGAGTGGCATATTGGGCAACATGTACTTCAAGGAAAGTGATATGAATGCAAAAGTTCCCTGTCATTTTAAAATATCATGTCCTCAATTACATTTTCCGCTGGAAAAAGTGGCATTTAGTTAAAATATTTTTGAAACTTAAATAATGATAAATTAAATTAAAATAAATGTCTATTCAAGCTACAATTCAAAACTGCCTTCTCCATAAAGAAATTATTGACACCACTTTAAGTGCCATAGCTCAATACTATGGGACTATGTAGTTTGGTGCGGCAACAGTACTATTTGGCGGAGAAGGCTAAAATTACAAATCCCAGGATTCCATACCATGGCAGCTAAAATGGTATCTGACTGCATTAATTTTATAGTATAGATGCACCCTAATTGAGTGCTAACTACTTTTCCACTTTGAATTCAGTTTGCAGCAAATGAAGCTAAGCTGAAAACCTAAACAGGAATGTGGCAGGAGGGCAGAGAAACAGGGACATTTTAAAAGCACTTTAAATGTCAGTTCCAAGCAGCACATGTCAACATGTCAACAGTTAAAATACTGTACATATAAATGGACGTTGTGCATGATTGCAGATTTCACAACATTCTGGGTTCAAACAAACATGAGCAATTTAGAACAAACAATGAAATGTATTCTTTGTGAGTTCTCCTTACCTGGAGAGTAACAGCTATATTTGGTTGAATAGTTACATGCTATTATATATTGTTTGTCACATAAAAAACTAGGTTTTTTACATTACTAGTTAAGTGTTACATGTGACACTTAAGTATGGCATAGTCTCCCCTGCCCTCTCTTTCTCCCATCTGACAAGGATGTTTTGGTCTTAGTTAAAGGCTGGATCTACACTGCCTTATATCCCAGGATCTGGTCCCAGATTATCGGTTTATTATCCAGATTATTTGTCAGAGTAGACTCATATAATCCAGTTCAAAGTAGATAATCTGGGATCAAATCCTGGGATACAGAACAATGTAGATCCGGCCAAAGTTGAAATTTTCAAACCCTGGACAATTTCAAAAGTTCTGTGTCTAGACCAGTGGTTCGCAACCTGTGGGTCCCCGGGTGTTTTGGCCTACAACTCCCAGAAATCCCAGCCAGTTAACCAGCTGCTAGGATTTCTGGGAGTTGAAGGCCAAAACATCTGGGGACTCACAGGTTGAGAACCACTGGTCTAGACAATACTGCAAACTCCTATTGTTGACAAATAGAACTGTAGCACATTCAAGGCACGCCGCTGCCAGGGCTGCTTGGAATCATCGTCCCAAGGTGTTTCCTTGCGCCAATGGGTGACGACTCCCAGCAGCCCCGGGCAGTGGTGTACCTGGGATGTGCTCACGGAGGCATTCTAGGAGCCGTAGGAGTCGGGGAACTACAGCTCCCAGAATGCCACAGCAAGCACATCCAAGCTTCCTTGGGCCTAGGCAAGCCCAGTGGCCTTCGGAGGAGGTGAGCGTTGGAGGCAGAGGAGGGCCTTAAAAATAGAGCAGGAAGAGCAGCGGGGGCCATATGGACAGCCCAGCAGGCCATCACCCCTGGCCAGTCTCCGTGGCAATACAGCCTGCCGCTTCTTCTCGCCCTCCCTTTGCTCTCCTCCTCCCTCCTCCCATCTCCTCAGGCCGTGCTTCTAACGGAGTTGGATTTTATTATTTTCTTTTAATTATTATTAATTTTATACCCAGCGTACTAGATGACCCCCGACTTTTCATAAGATTTTCCAGGGTTAGAAAGTCATCTAAAATGCAGTAATTTCCCTCAAAAGTTTTTCATGTGAGTTTTCTGTTTCCCTTGTGATTTTTGTTCAAATAAGTCTCTTATCAAATAGGATGGAAATGTTATTTACCTATAAAGGGTAGTGATACAGATTTACTTTTATTCTTAGAACCATCTCTTCTGGTTACTTTTTTGGGTACCAACACCCTGCCTTCCAGAAGATCACAGTCTCTGACTACCTCGGCGCCACCTAACGTAACACCGGGGGTCTCTCCACCTGTCAGGCCAGTATCTTCTCCTGTGATGTCATCCTCAATAAAGGGTCAATCTAGGTGAGGAGACAACATACTTGTGCATGCATTTTGGAATTGAAAATATGAAACCACTATTATGGGTGGGGGCAGGACTGTGAAATCTGGAAGCTCCTAGTCACAGACTGATACATGGGTGGTGGATATGGATTCAGTCATTCTACCTCAAGGTCCGAGGAAGCTGAGTATATGAGGCAGAGCAACTGAGAGCATAAAACATCCCCTTAAAGAATGGTAAAAGTTCTTTAAAATAGTTTACATCAAAACCAATCATGTCAAGGGAAAAATACTCCTTGACATGCTCTTTTTGTGTGAGCAGGGATCATTCAACCATTGGCTGTCCTGAAAAGTAAATAAGCTTACATAAACTGGTGACCAAAAGTGTTCTGAAAGAATAAATCTAGAATAAAAAATAAGTTATCTTTTAAAAATTACTTAAAAGATGATGCCTGTGATTTTAAAAAAAACTTATGTAGTCTAAACAACATACCAATTACATTTATTCCGTGGTTGTGGGACCTGGCCTTCGGTCAGCAGACATAAAGCAGAACTTTGGTTGAAATGGACTGGAAAGACGATTTACATGAGGATACGGTTTTATACTGTTTAATTAATGGCTTATGTATTTTATATATTTTAATGGTTTGATGGCTTTGTTTAATGGTCATTGTATTAATTGTTCATGTAATGGCATCAAATTGCTGCCTATGTAAGCTGTCCTGAGTCCCCCTTTCGGGGTAGAGAAGAGACAGTATATAAATACCAGAAATAAATAATAAATAATAAATTTCCTTTTCTTTTAGCACATGGAGCAGCAGTAGCTGGCATGGAAGAGTTAAAGGGGGATTGAAGGGGTTCCAAACTTGCATGGTTTCTGATAACAACATGAGTTTTGTTGAATTTGTAGAGCTCTTCAAATCTTTCAGGTAAAATCTGTTTTACTGATTCTTAACGTGAGTAGCTGTTTTTTGTTTTGTTTTGTTTGATAAAAAAACAACCTTATGCTTTGATTATAGTAGCTAATAAAAATGGTTAATCTATCCTAGTGTTCGTAGCCGCAAAGATTTAAAGGATCTTTTTGATGTTTACGCCGTACCCTGCAATCGATTGGGTTCAGATTCTGCTCCTCTGTATACCTCCCTGAAGATTGATGAGAACACAAATGGACTCCAGCCTGATTTAGGTAGGATAAATTAATGTGCCACAGCTCTAATTAAGAATTGGTTGGTTTTCAATGTCAGATACTAAGGCAGGCATGGGCCTTAGTACAACCCTACTGGCTGTTAGGAATTGTGCGAGTTATAGTCCAAAACACTTGGAAGGCCCAAGTTTGCCCATGCCTGTACTAAGGCCAAATCCAGTTGCTAGTTCCAACTGGAATAGACCTGTTATATCAATGAAATTTATGTAAGTGTTGACTTACTGTTCAACAGTTCGTTCAGTGGGTTAACTGTAGTTCAGATCAGCGATAAAATTTATGACCAAAGTTCAGATTTCACCACTAACTGTGGTTTCATCAGCTATGCCTTCTTCTGTGTTTCTCTCATTGATATTTTCTCCTGTAAGATGAGAACAATGTCTCATCTCACTGAGCCATTTACTCTTTATTGTTATGAGTAAAAAAATTTATGAAGCACTTTGCAAATTTAAAAATAGCAGTATAAATAATTTACAATACTCCTATCCCACACATGGTGCACACTTAAGTTCCTGATGCTTAATTACATGGGATTAAACATGGGATTGCAACCTCAAAAGAAAATATATTCCATGAAATTTATGTAGTTGAGCAAAATTCAGCCCTTTGTTAAATGTGCTGTTAAAGCTTACTGTAATTATACTATGGAGTTTTAAAATAAATTGGGTTTTTAAACAAAAGTATTAGCTAGGATGAAATAGTATATTCCTGTAAGGTAAGGGTAAAGGTTTCCCAGTGACATTAAGTCTAGTCATGTCTGACTTTGGAAGGTGGTGCTCATCTCCATTTCTAAACCAAAGAGCTAGTATTGTCTGTAGACACCTCCAGGGTCATGTATCCAGCATGACTGCATGGAGCGCCATTACCTTGCCGCCAAAGCAGCACCAATTGATCTACTCATATTTGCATGTTTTCGAACTGCTAGGTTGGCAGAAGCTGGGGCAAAACATTCCACAAATACTCCAAACCCCGTTTTCCATCCCTCTCACTACAGTTTCATCTTATTCCACACTTACAAATGCTCTCAATCCCCTGTCACACACCCCTCGTTCACTCAAATATCAGTTAAGATTAATTAAAGTCTGGATTTATTTTGTTTTTTTTAAATGAAGAACTTCCCAAAGTGGTTTCATATGCCTTCCATGGCTTCACTGCAGTTGCCTATACTAATGTGGAGTGTTAGCCTACATCTCCACCATCTGATCTGGATGAAAAGACGTCTCAACCTCTGAGGATGCCTGCCATAGATGTGGATGAAACGTCAGGAGAGAATGCTGCTGGAAAATGGCCATACAGCCCGAAAAACTCACAGCAACCCTATAGGTGTTGTGTTGGCACAAAGTTTGTTCAGTACCAGGGAGGCCAAAGTGATTCTCAACCTCTAGGATGGGAGATGTTTGGATTTTACACAGCTTCACCTGTTCTAGTGTTACCTCAGATGATGGCTTTGGTCCATCTTAAACTAGTCAGGATTGCACACTTACAATAATGGGACTAAAGATAAAATTGCTATTTTTTCGCATTTATTTGGGAAATGGTGTTCCTTCCGCTATCCTTTGAAATTTAGGACTTGATACTGGCGCTTTGATGCTTCTGTAAAGAATGGTTTGTATATTTTTTTATCTTTTAGATTTACTAACAAGGAATATATCGGATTTGGGCTTGTTCATTAAAAACAGACAGCAGCTATCAGACAACCAGCGACAAATATCTGATGCCATTGCTGCAGCCAGTATTGTAACTAATGGCACTGGAGTCGAGAGTACATCTCTGGGAATATTTGGAGTGGGCATCCAGCAACTCAATGACTTCTTAGTAAATTGCCAAGGAGAACACTATACATATGATGAACTCCTCAGTATTATTCAGGTTTGTAGTTCAAAACTATTGAAATCTTTATGTTCTTGCTGTTTAATTCTTTGATATTTTTTTTGGCTTGCTCCATTACTCTCTCTCCAGTAGTCCCAAGTGGGCTGACTCTGAGAATAATAATAATAATAATAATAATAATAATAATAATAATAATAATAATGACAATAATAACAACACTTTATTTATATTCCGCCCTTCTCACCCCGAAGTGGACTCAGCGCGGTCACAGTACACTTACACGACAAACATTCAATGCCGCTTTGTATAGACAATACACAGACAGACAGAACAGAAACAGGTGCCATGGAAAGTTGGGCTCGAGTCCAGGGGGTGCTATTGCTCTTTCCTCTATGATGAAGAGCCATCAGGACTTCCTCCTTCCTTTTGGTCGCCCAGCATTTTCTGATCTTCTTTCTTTATGACATCATCAAACACCTCCCCTGCTTTTAGCGGTACCTAATTTCTCTAATCACAGCTAAAGCCGTTTTCAAATTGCTTAGGTAAACAATGAGCTAGGCTGACAGTTGGCAGCTCATGCCAACCCGGGGCTTTGAACTTGCAACCTTTTGGTTGATAGGTCTTATAATTGCTGATGATTTACCAGGTGTGCTAAACCTCCAGCCCTATTGAAACTACACAGGAGTATTTGAGAATACACTTAATTTTACCCTGGGGACTCTCCATGTCTTTCATGGAATTTTTTCTATGATCACTGTCTGCCATTCTGCTGAGTTTTCAATATACTCCAGAGGTTAAGAAGAGCATAGAGTTGCTCTTATTTTATATCCAGATGTCCGTCCCACCTTGCATTTTCATTTCCTTTCTCTCTCCATTCCTTTTTCTTTCTACCCTTTTATTTCACTTGTGTTCTTTTCCCTTCTACCATAACTAAGACTCCCAATTGGGAGGGATAGCCAGTACGCCAGAGGATAGGAGCAGAATTCAGAACGAATTCTGACAGATTAACAGATTAGAGAGATGGGCCAAAATTAATAAAATGAAGTTCAACAGGGAGAAATGCAAGATACTCCACTTTGCCAGGAAAAAATGAAATGCAAAGATACAAAATGGAGGACCAGCGTGGGCTGGTCCATGAGGTCACGAAGAGTCGGAAACGACTGAACAAATCAACAACAATGGAGGATGCCTGGCTCAAAAGCAGTACGCTTGGAAAAGATCTTTGAGTCATCATGGACAACAAGTTAAACATGAGCCAAAAATGTGATGCGGTGGCTTGAAAAGCCAATGGGATTTTGACCTGAATAAATAGTCTAGATCCAGGGAAGTCATGCTACCCCTCTATTCTGCCTTGGTCAGACCACACCTGGAATACTGTGTCCAATTCTGGGCACCATAATTGAAGGGAGATGTTGACAAGCTGGAATGTGTCCAGAGGAGGGCAACTGAAATGATCTAGGGTCTGGAGAACCAGCCCTTTGAGCGGCTTAAAGAGTTGGGCATGTTTAGCTTGCAGAAGAGAAGGCTGAGAGAAGACAAGATGGCCATGTATAAATATTTGAGGGGAAGCCATCGAGAGGAGGAAGCAAGCTGGTTTTCTGCTGCTCTTGGGACAATGGAACAGTGGCTTCAAACTACAAGAAAGGAGATTCCACTTGAACAATAGGAAGAACTTCTTGACTGTGAGAGTTGTTCAACAGTGGAACTCTCTGCCCCAGAGTGTGGTGGAGGCTCCTTCTTTGGAGGCTTTTAAACAGAGGCTGGATGGCCATCTGTCAGGGGTGCTTTGAATGCGATTTTCCTTCTTGGCAGAGGGTTGGACTGGATGGCCACAAGGTCTCTTCCAACTCTATGATTCTATGACTCAGGTGGCTGATAACAAGATTAAAATGGTAAAAGATAAAAGCAGATACAGATCAAAACCTACATAATTAAAATGTAAACAATTTCAGTTGTTTAAAACTGAGTTAAAAGCACTCCAGAAACACATTTTGAAACCATTGTAGCGTCAATCCCTTCAAAAGCACTTTTATTGCCAAGAGTAAACTGAGAATATATCTTCAAATGCTTTCGACAATCCCCAGCATCTGTGCATTGTGGAGGACTTGGAGGTGCCAAGATTCCTCATTTCCCAGACTTAGCTCTACCATTAAACAGAGCCTGGATCTACACCCAGGTCATTTGCTTTGGATTATATTAGTCTGCACTGCCAGATAATCTGGGATCAAATCCTGGGATATAGGTCAGTGTACATCCAGCTAGAGTAAAACACACATCTCAGATGGTAGGTGCTAGAGGAAAGCAGGAGTCGTTCTCAACCATTCCTCCTCAGCCCTCTGGCGTTTCCCATTTTTCAGAAGACAGAACAGTGTGTTCAACACAGCCCTTCCTGCTCTCCCTAAAATAGCCCACCGCTTTTTGGAGTGGTGAATATTACAGTACTATTCCATTGTCAGTGCTGGAGCAAGATTTGCTTCTGTACAACTTGATTTATCAGTCCATTTTGCTTCTGTATTTGGAACTGGGTGAGAGTCATATCTTGTCCTGTGCCTCACTCACCAAAATAACCCTGGGTGGCCTTGCCACTTCCTGCAGGGCACTGTTGGAATGAATATGAAGTCTTACTTTGTGTTAGAAGTCTGTAGACTTTCCATTCAAAGTAAGGGAATCTATTCTGCTGTGGACTTAGTCGTTAGAGAGACCGTCTGCTCAAATATAGTTTGTTCTTAGAAGAAGCAGGCCATTAAGAGAAATTGCCAAGCCCTCTTCGTTTCTCTAATACAGAGAGGATCTGTACATGTTGAACATTTATTATGAAGCAAGAGCGAGGCCTGGCCTTCCTCCAAGACCTTTGTAATATGAAAAGAGCTATGTAGTTGTAGAGACGAGGGATTGTGATTTCTGCCAAGATAGGAAATGTCAGAGGCAATGTCAGTTACTCCCTTGTTTACTGCTGTCCTTCTGAGATGCCAAGCATAGGTCATTATTGTCCATGTAGTCAGCAGATGCGCAGTGTCACCAGCTTTTGGTGCTAGCCATACACACATAATGACATTCTTCCCATTTTCTTAAACTGGACAATGGGGGATGTTGCAGAAAAGATCGGCCCTCCGTTCCTCACACAGCAGGAGTGGACAACTCCCAAGTGTTGCCCTCCATGGTCCTCTGGATTGGGACGAGTCAACCATCTACATGGCCATACAAATTTGGGGAACTGAAAAAAAAATAGCTACAATTTTGTATTGTCGAAGGTTTTCATGGCTGAAGTCATTGGGTTGTTGTAGGTTTTTTGGGCTGTATGGCCATGTTCTAGAAGCATTCTCTCCTGACATTTCGCCTACTTCTACTTCTATGGCAGGCATCTTCAGAGGTTGTGAGGTCTTACAACCTCTGAGGATGCCTGCCATAGATGTAGGTGAAACGTCAGGAGGGAATGCTTCTAGAACATGGCCATACAGCCCAAAAAACCTACAATAACCCAGTTACAATTATTGTATTTTATGGTTCGTGCAATTAAATCCTTCCTCATCCCCGGATCCCCTTTCCCGACAATTTTACATTTATCTCCCAGGGTTTTAAATTTTTATCTTTGAATCTGGGCCTGCCCAGTGTAATTCTTTTGTGTTTTAATGTTTGATTTTATATTGCTGCGTCATCTATTATATTGGTTTTGCATTTTATGTATTTTATTTTCTGATTTTGTTATGCTTTTGTGTAATATTGTGTTTATTGTACTGATGGGTGTGACCTCATGCAAGCCGCCCCGAGTCCCCCTGGGGAAGATGGAGCGGGGTATAAATAAAGTATTATTATTATTATTATTATTACTATTATTATTATTATTATTATTATTATTATTATTATTGTATTTGTGTGCCGCTTTGCCCCCAGGACTATGGCCCAATACAGCTTGGGGAGGGGAGTGCATTTGGTCATGTTGCTCCGTTTTAGGAGATTCCTTCCTTTTTTTAGCCCTATAGAGGCCTATATATGGTTTTCCTCAAAACAGAGACTGAAGCACAATGTCTGAGGACTTTCTGGTTTGCAGAAAAGCTGAAGAATAGCCTCTATAGTAGTAGTTCTCAACCTGGGGTGCCCAGATGTTTTTGGCCTACAACTCCCAGAAATCCCAGCCAGTTTACCAGCTGTTAGGATTTCTGGGAGTTGAAGGCCAAAAACATATGGGGACCCCAGGTTGAGAACCACTGCTCTACAGGATTATAAAATAGACCTATAGGGCGCTCCCTAAATAGAGCACAGAATAGCCATCAGTAGGTCTACATGTTGGAGATACTATTGGCCACATGTGAACAGAACACAGGCAGTCGCCAAGTAACAAAACATCTGACTTACAAATAACTCAGTTACAAAGTGGGGTGAGGGAACAGGAAGTGAGAGAAATGTACCCCTAGAAAGGGAAATTCACTCCTACAAATTTTATCATAGGGAAAAGGTATATCCACAGAAGCTTTCTTGCCAATCCCTGTGTCCACAACAAGCCAAATTTTGCAAAATCCAGGGCTCACAGGAACAGCAAGTGAGGTGAAATCTTCTGAACAGGAGTACAGACAGCAAACCAAATGCAGCAATATTGTCCAAAAACTTGTGTGTTTGCGTGTGTGCGCGCGCGTGCATTTGTATATCGCTCAAGTTACACTTAAGATATGTATATATTCTGACTTATAAACAAATTCAACTTAAGAACAAACCTAAAAAACCTATCTTGTTTGTAACTTGGGGACTGCTTGTAGTTCATTGACCCAAAATTTTCAGGTGGATGTGAACATAGGGACTCTTAAGTGGCCACATCACCTACCTTTGGCCCTGCATGTGTCCCATCCCATTGTATTCTCTGCAGACACGTCCCTGGGCTATTACAGAACATATATATATCTCCCTGGGTTATCACAGAACATGTTTTTACTTCCTTAATCTCAAGATTCTGAATTAATAATCTAATTCTATGTGTAAAGCCACTTTGCAAAAAGAAATAATTCAAGCAGTAGTCACACAAAATTGGGGCCCTTCCACACAGGCATATAATCCAGAATATCAAGGCAGAAAATCTCACAATATCTGCTTTGAATTGAGTTATCTGAGGGCCCTTCCACACAGCTGAATAAAATCCCACATTATCTGCTTTGAACTGGAATATATGGCATTGTGGACTCAGATAACCCAATTCAAAGCAAATATTGTGAGATTTTTCTGCCTTAATATTTTGGGTTATATGACTGTGTGGAAAGGCCCTGAGTCCGCACTGACATATATCCTAGTTCAAAGCAGATAATGTGGGATTTTATTCAGCTGTGTGGAAGGGGCCTTGGACAAATGATGTTTGGCAGTGCACAAACCTGTGTTTCTTTGCAACTTTCATCTTCACACTCTTCTTGATCTTTTTTATTCTAATTGAACTTTGAGATCAGAAATATAGGCAAAATAATGGTCGAGAAAAATGAGTAGGTGGGATATAGTTTTAGTATTCTCTCTCACCTGCTAGTTTGCTAGTTTAACATTTTCTATAGGCCTTGTTTTGTTGATTAGGAAAGGAACTAGTTTGCATTGGAAGACCTGGATTTGCCACATGTGTAATTCTGCTTCCAGTAATGGACAAGCTGTACCTAAACAAAAACTAAGTGAAAACCATTTTTTTGTGCATGTTTCTTTTCACATATCCATTAACATTCTCCATCTGCTTCTTACAGAAGTTTGAGCCCAGCCTCAACATGTGTCAGCAGGGACTAATGTCATTTGAAGGATTTGCACGGTAATATCCTATGAATCATTTTGATATTCATTCAATATGCCTTGTATGTTTTTGATGAACTTCTGATTTCTGTTATCTCTAGGTTTCTGATGGATAAAGATAATTTTGCATCTTTGAACAATGAATCTCAGGAGAACATAGATGATTTGGTATTTCCACTGTCGTATTACTACATTGAGTCCTCACACAATACGTATCTCACGGGACACCAGCTGAAAGGAGAATCTTCAGTAGAACTTTACAGCCAGGTATCTCGTTTTAGTCGGCTGCCCCTTTTTCTCCTGCAAGGATTTGTTTGTTTATTTGGAAAGTCCAAGCAACATGACCCTTTCCTGCTTTCTAAACCCAAATGTTTCCAAGTCCTTGGTTGTAAAACATAGGAAAACAAGAAGTGTGGGAAAACTGCTTGTGTGCACAGTTGTGCCCAGATGCTTTTTCAAAATAATTATATATTTAAGCTTTGTTCTAAAGGAGGGAAAGGGTTTCATCTGAGAGTCATGGCACTGAGACACTGGCCAGTCTGATCTAACCTGCTAAAATTAGACTTTCCCACAGGAAAGCTTGAGCTAATATTTTAGTTCATTTGAATGTCAAAGCATCATTCAGAATGATCTTGAGTTGTACTGAAAAGATGGCGAATTTGTAGCGAAGTTATTATTCAGAAGAGTTTTGCTTCTATTATATAATATTTTGGCCATTCTTTCCAAACAGTGATGCCGTCACAGATGCTGTTTTCCAGAAGTTTCATTTTAGATCTTGTGTGTATCGGAGTTGCATCATGTTTTAGAGTTTACAGAAAGCATCAGATTTCCTATGAATGGAAGATTTTAGTCATTTCATATTGACAGTTGATGCAATTATTCAGCTGTCACTCTGTCTGCACTTAAGAAATTATAGCTTCTGGCAGAAATACCTATGTGATAATATAGTGTTTGCATTATTCACAACTTTTTAAGAACATATCACGTGCAAGTATATTTTAGGCCCCTTCTACACTATCATATAACATCCAGATTATCTGCTTTGAAACAAGATTATATGGCAGTGCAGACTCATATAATCCAATTCAAACCAGATAATCTGGATTTTTTTCATGTCAAAAGCATTGTATAAATAAGTATAAAACTGATAAAATAGCGGAAGCACAAGTGGCTAAACAATTTTAGACCAAAAATGTGCAACAGCAATCGCATTGTGTGTAGCTTTAAACAATTCTTCCTCAGTTCATGAGGCAAGACGTTATGCACAAGCATACAGATGTGGAGTTGTTTGTTCTACTTCACAGTGGCACAAGGAGGAGGATTCTTCTACGTTGTGCCATTTTGCCAGTTTGTCTTTTGACCTGCCCACTCCACTTCTGATTCTGTTCAGGGACTTCCAAGTTGCTCATTCTTGGTTTGCCCCTGGAAGCAGACTCTCATGGGGGGCCATCCAATTGGGATTTCCTGGTTTAGCTGCCCAGAGGAATACTCTTGCTGTTACTGGGAGACATTAAGAGGAATAGTGGTTCTCATGAAGCCTTTCCTTGAATTGAGTCTGCTGGGAAGAGGCTGATAGCCATGCAGTGGATGGCTTTCAGAGTGTTCAAACTTAGTTTTCTCACAGTTAGCAGCAACTTCTCGTTGCACATGGGGGCGGGGGGGGGGGGGGGCAATGCCAGCTAGTTTATAGTCTATCAATAGGTGTAGGTTTGAGACATCCTGTGATTATTCTGCATGTTTTGTTCAGTGCTTCATGTGGGCAGACTTGTGCCAAACAGGGCAGGCATACTCAGCAGTTGAGTAAGACAAGGCCAGGGCTGATGTTTTTATTAATTTTGGGTCTGCACCCTATGTTCTGCGAGTAAGTTTCTGCAGGATGTTATTGTGTGCAGCTAATTTAGCTTGGTGTTCATATGGTGTTTCCTAAATGTTAGTGTTCAATCTTAGACAGTGTTGTCCATGGCTTCACCCTTACTACACCGTTGCAACAAGAGTGACTGGTCTCGTGAAACCCTCTTATAGTGCTGAGGCAAAAAGGATGTCAGAAAGGGAAAGGCGCAACAACAAGCCTCCTGATTGCTGCTTGTCCTCCTCCTCCTCCCCCCCCCCCCCCCCCCCCCCCGAACAGAGCCGTTCCATGTGGCTCCTGGAATCGGGGGTGCCTTGGTGTCTTCGTTTTTAGGGGTTCTTGGGGTTATTTGGGGTGCTGATTCAGAAAATTGAATTGGATAGACCACATCAGCTCCAGATTATTAAATATTGTTTTCTGTGGATGAGCAGATGGCAACTACTGGATAGCATATGTTCTGTATCAGAAACTAGAGCTGATGTGGTCCAATGGAATTTTCTGAATCAGCACCCCAAATAACCAAACCAAATCTAAACTTGACCAAAAAAATGATTAGGAACCCTTTTGGTACTAATGTTGGAGAGTGGTCCCTGGTCAAAAAAAAGGTTGGGAATCACTGATCTGAGGTGACACCAAGATATTTAGGATGGGAGCCGTGTTCGAGCTCTTGTCCTCCCTAGGTAACTAGCCCAGGTAACTGGATTATCTGCTTTGATAATCTGGATTATTTGGTAATGTAGTAGGGGTTATAGTTAACAAATTTGATGTGGTCCTGGTCATTACCTCTTTAATAGGAACGTTGGTACTAGAATGAGTTCCCACACTACAAAAAGAAGAGCATTTCAACATTTTTCAGCACAACTTTTATCCAGAATTAACAATTTGCACTCATGAATTGAAATAACCAGGTCAGATCAGCCTTTAAATAAACAAAAACATTTTGAACTTCTTAGAAACCACTTGAAAGCTTTTTCAAAATGCATCCAGGGATTGTTTTTATTTTTAAAGCCTCCGCTTTCCTTGTTATTTCCATTTTGGTGGACAGAGTTCTAGATCTATATTTTTTACCAAGCTGCATTGTCTGCTTTCCTTCATTCTCTTTGTTTTGCTGTTCATTCCTGCTCAGTAAGGGATTCTGGAGGAAGCTGCCGTGCACTTTGCTTATTTTAAACATAAAGACAGTAACAATTGCTAGAGTTAAATCCCATTTTCCCCCCAGCTCATGCTTTATTGCATTGTTTACTGCAGACTTACTGCTTTAAACAGAAACCAAATTCTGTCTTCTTCTAGCACTGTTTCAGTGCTGTTGCAGCTTTAATAAACTTGCAGGTCGGCAGAGGACAAGAAGAAAAAGAGAGAGGGGACTGAGCAGATTGAAAAAAGACAGTCATATAATTCAGAATATCAGGGCAGAAAATCCCACAATATCTGCTTTGAACTGGGTTATCTGAGTCCATGCTGTCATATATCCCAGTTCAAAGCAGACAATGAGGGATTTTATTCAGCTGTGTGGAAAGGGGCCTTTGTGAAAAGGAACTTCATTGTCAGAGGCTTTGTTAATTGACGCACATTAAATATATTTTCTTGCACTTTAATATGTTTTCTTGCTTTAGAACAATTACCTTATTCTTACTGAAATCTTTATAACTTCAGACCTTTGACTGTATCCAAGATAGTTGAAGTTAAGGTTTTTATCATGCAATCTCCCTTCCTCATACATGGAATTTACCATCTTGTAAAATTCTCCTATGTTTATAATATCTATTAAGGCAATGCAGTCGTGTATTGTTCTTTTTTTAAGGTTCTGTTGCAAGGGTGTAGGAGCGTTGAACTAGACTGCTGGGACGGGGATGATGGAATGCCAGTAATTTATCATGGACATACTCTTACTACTAAGATTCCTTTTAAGGTATGTGGTATTTTGCTAATAATGTCATTTTCGGTATAAAAGTGTAAGTTACTAATAATTATGTAGCACATCAGCCTTATGGTTGCCTTCAAAGGGCATTGAATTCATGGATAGAGAACCTGTGGATACAAAAGGCCAACTATACATTTTTACATAGTGGATGGTGCTTTTTGGTTTTTAGTCAGTTTGGGTCTCAAGATGTTGAATGATATAAAGCACCGCTGTCACAAAAATTATAACGCCCACACTGTCATACAACACACAGCTGGCACCTCCTAAAATTATATGAATGTGCTGGTCACCCAAAAATATGAAGCCGTCAAAAGGAAGAGGAAGTATGGTTGCTGAACCAACTGTATTTTTAAAAGATAGGAACTGGGAAACACTAGTGACTTAAAATGATTCTTCAAATGAATTCCGCTGTCACCATTTCAATATTAATCAGGCTGAGGTAATATTGAGAGTTTGCTCTGTAACACACACTGTGCCACTATAGTTTCTTAGAGGCTGCTGTGAAGCTGACTTTTAGTAATATTTTGACCACAAAGGTATTCACACAGAGGCTGGTATAAGATGATAAAAGAATTAGAATGTTTATTGAACAGGCTTGAAATAATTCAGGTACAAATGCTTAATGGTTTCAGTAAATACTGGCAAAACAAGCTTGTGGTTGCGTTAGAGTCAAAATCTTAAAATCTTCTGGGTTACAAGTCTTCAAAGTCTTAATGGTTTCAGTAAAATACTGGCATAAAAAGCTTGTGGTTGCATTAGAGTCAAAATCTTAAAATCTTCTGGGTTACAAGTCTTCAAAGTTCCACCACAGAAAATTACTTCAGGAAATGAATCTCTGAAAGTAACTCCAAAAATGCCCCTTAGGAATCTAGCCAAAAATACCCTGAACTAGACTTCCTTAGGAATTGAATAGACCACTAACTGGGTACTGCTCCTCCACAATATTCTAGCTATTTACTCAATAGCTACTCTGAATACTTCACTAAAGACTGACCCAATCTTCTTCTCCAAACTCAAACGCGCTCTCACTAACACCAACTCTTCTTCTCTCTCTAACACCCAAAAACCCAATTCACAAACTGGGACTTCAAGCCTCTATTTAAAAGGATACTTTTTCCCTCTAGACCACTTAGCCAATCCTAGCCTTCTTATTTTCCCTCTAAGACTTGAACACGCCCCCTCAAGGCAAACCTAACTAAAATGGCTTCTCCCTGTCTCCCTTTTCTAAAATGTACGCCGTGGCTTCGCCAGGCCCACTCCCTTAGGCTTTAGGCAGCTAGCAAAGGTAAGGGATTCATTACAAATGACAACTCCCATCACTTATCCGTCATGTGGATGGGACATAATGGGAATTGCAACCCAACAGCACTTGTGGCTGAGGTTGGAGAAAGGTTGACACTTTGGCACTTTAGCTGTGTATTGATGGCAGTTAGTTTTAACCATTGATGGCATTTTTAAATTGTGTATTTTATCTTGTTTTATGTGTTGATAGTGGTTGTTTATAACTTTTATGTGATATTGTTTTATACTCATGTACTGTTGATGTTTATACTGCACTTACAGTGCCTTATAAACCGTCCCGAGTCCCTTTTTGGGAGATGGAGGCGGGATACAAATAAAGATGATGATGATGATGATGATTATTATTATTTATTAAAGGTTAAAGGATATTTTAAAGTCAGATATCTTATCTACAAGCCTTGTATCTAAATTCAAATCCCACTATGCTGACTAAATAAAACAAACTGCAGCCTTCCAAGTGTTACTGTATCACAACTCCCATCAGCTCTAGTCATGATGCCTAATGATGAGGAATATAGTAGATGTGGTCCAGCACATGGAGGGCCACATAAAATGACATGGAGGGCCAGATTCAGCTTGTGGGCCTTCTGTCTGGAACAAGTGATTCAGATTCTTTCGACAATACCATATAAAATCCAAAATATCTGCTTTGAACTGGATTATATGGCAGTGTAGACTCATATAATCCAGTTCTGGATTATCTGCTTTGATAATCTGAATTATATGGCAGTGTAGAAGGGTCTTAATATCTCACTACAGCTGCAGGAGCCATCTTTCATAGGAGCCTTTCACAATCTAATGCCTCCCAGATGTGTTTGATGAAGAAGTTAATCATGCAAGGCTTGAAAATTGCAACCACAGCAGGAAAACAACATCTTTGTCTTGGACTTAGCGTATGACGTCCCTCCTTTCCCCGTGCTCTCCCAGTAGGAGACCATTGGAAGGCATTGCTTTTACAAAATGAGGTCATTAGCAGGTTACTTGTGTAGAAAAGCTAGATTGCCTCCAGTAGTTCATGGAGCAAACAAATGTGTTCTGAATATCATCATGATATAATTATTGTTACTTTTGCAGGAAGTGGTTGAAGCCATTGATCGTAGTGCCTTTTTCACCTCGGACATGCCAATCATCATATCTATTGAGAACCACTGTTCCTTACCTCAGCAACGGAAAATGGCTGACATTTTCAAGGTATCTTACAAGAAACTAATATGTGAAAACGGAAAATGGAAATTTTAAAAGTTTTCTTTTGAAGCTTTTTATTGTTTGTTTTTATGTTTCAGTATTTTTGGTGAATATTTTACCATTGTTTAAATGAAAAAAAATCAGATTCTGGCATAATAATAAGGAGAAGAAGAATAAGAATTCATTATTGGTTTTTACGTATCAGTATTTTTGGTGAATATTTTGCCATTTTTTTAATGAAAAAATAATCAGATTCTGGCAGAAGAAGAAGGAAAAGGAGGAGGAGGGGGAGGGGGAGGGGGAGGAGGCGAAGTTCTTTATTTTTCTACCCCCGCCTCCATCTCCCCGAGGGGGCTAAGGGCGGCTTATATGGGGCCAAACCCAAGGCAACATACAATTAAAAACAGAACAATAACATATTAAAATAGCATAAAAACAACTTAAACAATAATAAACAAGCATCATAAGCAACAACAGAGATACCTCTAGTCTCCTTTTGAGGGGGACAATGTGCGAAACGAGTTAAAGGATAGGCTGGTCAATAAGGTGGATAGAGCGTATAGTAGCATAGGAATAGAGCAATCAAACAGGATCGTTTCAGTTTAACTTAAAAGTAGTAATCAAATATAGAAACTTGAATTCAGGTCATGGTTAGTGAACATCAGTCAAAGGCGTCATCAGTCGAATGCACAACTAAACATCCACATCTTTAGTTAAGCTAAGGATAGTGTAGTATATGTTGGCAACTTACTTAGTTTTTCATCCATCTTTTTAATAGTGAGCACATCAGCCTGGAACTTGTAGTTCATCATATGTTCCCATTACATTTCTATCCAATAAATAAGTTAATGTCATGATATGGAAATCAACTTTAACCCATATGTTATTAGAAGCTATTAGCCATGGTTTATTGATTTGCACATAATAAGAAGCTATTGCTTATTTTATTTATTTATTTATTTATTTATTTACTTTACTTCTATACCGCTGTTCTCAGCCCGAAGGCGACTCACAGTGGTTATTTTCTTTCCTTCCTCTAAGGGTGGAGCAAGTGGGGCTGTGTGCAAACTTGAAGTTTATCACAGCTTCTTCAGCCAGGATTTAATCATCAAAATTGTGTAAATGCTACCATTTAGACTGTGTGGTTTGGGATTTGGGACATTTTCTTTAATACCTTATAATTTATTTTATTGTTCCAGAATACATTTGGAGAAAAGCTTGTAACTAAGTTTTTATTTGAAAGTGACTTTTCGGATGACCCTATGCTGCCTTCCCCCATTCAACTGAGGAGGAAAATTCTTCTTAAAAACAAAAAGCTCAAAGCACATCAAACTCCAGTGGACATATTAAAACAGAAGGTACGGCTTTATAGAAGAAGGTTTAAGTAATATAATTCGTATTGTATATATATTTTTTACAATGATCTCTGAAAGCATCCCACTATCGCGATAAAGTGGCTGCATCTGGGAATTTTTGGAAAATGGAAATCTCCAGAACCTTTTGGAGATTTTAGATTTTTGGAAAGACATGACTTGGCCATGATGGTCCACGCTCTGGTTACATCCCACATAGATTAGTGCAACACACTCTTTGTGGGCTAGCCTCTGAAGACTGCTCGGAAGCTCCAGCTAGTCCAACGCCCAGCAGCCAGATTGCTCGCTGGAGTGGGGTACAGGGAGCGTACAACCCCCTTGTTACGCCAACTCCACTGGCTGCCTATTAGCTTCCGAGCACAATTCAGAGTGCTGGCCTTGACCTATAAAACCTTAAATGTTTCCGGCCCAGCTTACCTGTCTGAACGCATATCCCTCTATGAACCCCCAAGGACCTTAAGATCATCTGGAGCGGCCCTGCTCTCGGACCTGCCACCATCGCAGTCGCGTTTGGTGGGAATGAGAGACAAGGCCTTCTCGGTGGCCCTCTCTAATGAGATCAGATTTGTCCCCTCCCTCATGACCTCCTAGAAGAAGCTCAAATCCTGGTTGTGGAATCAAGCATTTGCAGAATAGACTGTTTTAATGGTAAGATTGTATTTAGCAGAAGGCAGTGGATTGATTTGGAAGATGACTCGAAATGGCAAACTGTTTTAATGTATATTTACAATTGTTTTAATGTCTGCTAAGTGTATTTTATGCTTTGTTATTTATTGTTTGGCACTGAATGGTGCCTGTTGGTAGCCATCCTGAGTCCTTCTTCAGAGGTTAGAAGGACGGGATAGAAATACTCCAAATTAAATAAATAAATAAAGACATGACCTTGTTAGAAGTCATAACCTTTTGAAAAATGATGCCATAACCTCTTGGTAAAAAGCATGCTCTGTTAGAGTCATAACCTTTTGCGAAAATGGCATTCACCAGCATTCATGCAAGGCAACTAGGTTTCTCAGCTGTTAAACTGATGATATTTCTTTGAATTGTTAGAGACAAAGAAATGCCAATACACAAAACACACACACATATATAGCAGAGTTTCCGAAGTGTTCTTTCAACAAAACATCTACTTTTCCTTAAAATATATTTGCCTTTAAATCTTGCTCTCAAGAGACAAAAATAAGCAGATTTCTTTTAAAGTACTATAGTTGGTTTACTCACAAACTTCATGTATTCAGCATACAGGTACTTTACATATGAATCCCGTTACAGATAGAATTTGAAGTAGTTTCTCTGTGCAGGTGACACAGGTTATCTTTCTTATAATCAACAGCATCTCTCTGTTCTACGAGTCTAATATAGTCTCTGTCTAGTCTGAAAGTCCAATGGAGTCTATACAGTCTGAGAATCTGAAAGCATACATCTGTTCCTACTGAAGTCTAAAGCATACTGTTTCTAAAATGGAGTCTGAGTCCTGAACAATCCTAGTTCTGATCACATAGTCTGCAGCCCCTCCCACAACAAAGAGTTACGGTAAAATTGCATACCAATACATACATATACAATACAGTAAGCAACCTGAATTATCTACATAACAAATAACTAGTGGAGGAATGCTTCTAAAAATTGGTTTAGCAAGGCTAGACTTCCAGTAACCTTGACATATACTCAGCTGTTTTGATCCTCTGACCTAACCAAGAGGTGTAGTTTTTGCTTGTTCCTGGAAGATGAATGTCCTTTCTTCAATGGATAATCACTTTTTTTGGGAAAGGTAGATAGCTCAGTGGCAAAGCTAAACAAGGACTTTAAAATATTACGGTAGATTCTAAATTGTTTAATTTTGTTTTTGGTGTTGTAGGCTCATCAGCTGGCATACATGCAAGCTCAGGCGAGTAATGGTGGCAATGTGGGGAATATTTCTACTCCAAATGAGGAAGAAGAGGATGAGGAAGACGAATATGACTATGATTATGAATCTCTTTCTGATGGTAAAGAAATGTACTTATCCTACTATTGTGTTGTTGAGATTTATGGCACAGTCACAGATTCCATCATAACCGTATTTGGGATTTCTTAACAAATCAAACAAAACATCAATTCAAATATTTAAATATAGAAGTTGACATCTGGTTTACTTTCTGTCTTTTTTTTAAAAAAAAGGTATCTTTTGTTCCCAGAACAGCTGGAGAAATAGTTGCCATTGATCCCAGGAACATTTAGCCATATAACCCAGAATATCAAGGCAGAACATCCCACAATATCTGCTTTGAACTGGGTTATCTGAGCCCACACTGCCATAAATTCTAGTTCAGAGCAGAAAATGTGGGATTTTATTCAATTGTGTGGAAAGGGCCTTAGAGTTCTTAAATAATTCCAAAACTGGCGTGGTAAAGGGAGGAATCTTCCTCTCAGTCCCCTTCTGCTTTGAACTGGATTATACGGGTCTACATTGCCATATAATACAGTTCAGTGCAGATAATCTGGATTTTTTATGGCAGTGTAGAAGGGGCCTAAGATCCAGAAGGGGGTAATATAGCCAGCAATCCCTATTTAGTTGTTCCCCAATAATTAATAATAATAAAAACTTGTTTCACATTAATAGGTATGCAACTGAAAATAAAGGAGATTTCATAATTTGGAAATACAACTATTATTTCTAATTCATTATATAGGATGATTGATTGACTGACTGATATACCTTCTACTCCCACTTTGAGTTGTGTTCTAGCATCACAAAAAACTTATGTTTTTTCTAAGTTGCTCAAAGAGTTTAATTAGTAAGTTGCTGTGAGTTTTCCGGGCTGTATGGCCATGTTCCAGAAGCATTCTCTCCTGACGTTTCACCTACAACTATGGCAGGCACCCTCAGAGGTTGAGGGATCTGTTGAAAACTAAGTAAGTGGGGTTTATATATCTGTGGAATGTCCAGGGTGGGGAAAAGAACTCTTGTCTGCTAGAGGTATGTGTGAATGTTGCATTTTGCCACCATACCTCTAGCAGGCAAGAAAACTTTCTCCCACCCTGGACATTTCACAGATATATAAACCTCACTTACTACTTTTTCACACTAGATAATGTATCCACTTTAAATCCAGTTTCTGCCTTCTGCAGAATTCTGGTGTTTGTAGTTTAGGGAGTCTGTTGAAGGTTCCTCCCTAAACTACAAATTCCAGAATTCTGCAGGAGGTAGAAACTGGATTTGAAGTGGATTCATTCTCTAGTGTGATGAGTTTCCCACAAACCCTTCAACCTCTGGGTGGGGGGAACGGAAAAAGGAAGAGTGGCCGCCCAAGGGCAAGATGGTTGGATGGTATCCATGAAGTGACAGGATTGACCTTGAAGGAGCTGGGGGTGATGACAGCCGACAAGGAGCTCTGGCATGGGCTGATCCATGAGTTCACGAAGAATTGGGAGCGACTGAACGAATAAACAACAACAAAGAAGAAAACATTCTGTTCAGGAAGCTTGTTTCATGCTTCTAGGAAGTTAGTATACATCTTCTATCTGATATGAGATCCGATTAGTCGGAATGTAATTAAACTGGAAGCATTAGAAAGCACAATGCAAAAACAAAACAACAAAACATACCTTTTATTCTCTTATTGGAGATTTTTTTAAATGTCATTGAAAATGCCCAGTGGCTCATTGCAGCAAAGCTATAATGCTTTGTGGTATGTGTTAAGGGTGTATATGTTAATATAGGAGCACATTTGGTTAATTTATTTTATTTATTTATTTATTTACAGTATTTATATTCCGCCCTTCTCACCCCGCAGGGGACTCAGGGCGGATCACAATGCACATATACATGGCAAACATTCAATGCCATAGACACACAATATATATAGACAGACACACAGAGGCTATTTAACTTTCCAGCTTCATGAGGGTATGCTTCAAATTCCAGCCACTGGGGGAACTGTCACTTCACCATCCACCTGTGACACTGATGGAGTACTTCCTCATTCCGATGGAGTACTTCCTCATTCCTTTGCATGCTACTGGAGAGTTTTATGGCGTCGTAAATTATATTCCGCTCTTCCCACCGCGCAGGGGACTCAGGGCGGATCACAATGCACATATACATGGCAAACATTCAATGCCATAGACACACAATATATATAGACAGTCACACAGATGCTATTTAACTTTCCAGCTTCATGAGGGTATGATTCAAATTCCAGCCACTGGGGGAGCTGTCGCTTCATCATCCACTTGTGACACCGATGGAGTACTTCCTCATTCCTTTGCACACTGCTGGAGGGTTTTATGGTGTCATAAATTAGTTAAATTAGCCTCCACGCATAAGCGGTACCTAAATTTTCTATTTGACAGTTGCAAAGGTCAAACAGCAAGCTAGACAAATGGGCTGCAAAGGTCAACAGCAAGCTAGACAAATGGTCGGGAGTGGTTTCGAACTCATGGCCTTTCAGTCAGTAGTAATTTTAATGCAGCTGAAGACTGACAGGTCACAGGTTCGAATCCAGGGAGAGCATGGATGAGCTCCCTCTGTCAGCTCCAGCTCCCCATGCGGGGGCATGAGAGAAGCCTCCCACAAGGATGGTAAAACATAAAAACATTCAGGTGTCCCCTGGGCAACGTCATTGCAGACGGCCAATTCTCTCACACCAGAAGCGAATTGCAGTTTCTCAAGTCGCTCCTGACATGAAAAAAAATCTGTTAATATATATTTTCTCCAGATTTGAAAGAAATGTAATATCTGATTTCCTTCTTCAAACAAGTTTTCTAATTACTCACATGATAAAGTCAGCTGAGTACTGGGATCATCTGGAATCGGTTGCCGTCTATGAAATCCAACTCCTTCCCTTTAAATTGTGTCTTAATAGCATTTCCAGAGTTGCTTCCCTGGAGCAATTCCACAGGTGCTCGTGACAAGTTGATAGTTTGACGACATCGTCCTAATGTAATTCTCATTTCTCTGGCTCTATTTCCTAATTTCCTTTACTCTTATTCCCTCTCTGACTCTGTTCTCCTCTAGCTGATGTCCTTAATGCTTCTCCTGCTCCTAACAGCCAGGAAGGTAAAAAGGCCATTTGGTCAAGCGTCCGTAACTGCATGGATTTCTGCACTGCATTTCAAAAACATCCTGTAGTGCATATTTTGAATGCATACCGTCACGTGTTCATGAAACACAGTGTAGCATTTCAGCCATTTATCATGATTTTCTTTTTTTTGGGAATCACAATATTTGCATGTGCTGTACTGCGTAGTTCATTGAGTCACATGTTATGTAGGCTGGCTAGTTTCTTGCTTGGTTATGAATTGAGATGGATCAATGTGAAGTTGTTAGTAAGCACTTTAGTTCCTTGTCACTCCCTTGTGCCACACCTCGGTTGCAAATAAGTGTTGTATGTGCTAGAATTAAGTTTGAGGCAGAAAATATTGCTAAAATAAATACAATTTGATGTATTGTTCCACTATTTTTAAAGAGGGAAAGGTTCATAATCTGCTTAACTGAAAAAGATGAGTTACAACATTTTTTGCTAAATTGGTAGTTTGCAGATTTGTTAGGCAACTTCTCTCAGCTATGCTCATCAGGGGATTGTGGGAGTTGAAGTCCAATATCATAGAATCATAGAGTTGGAAGACACCTCATGGGCCATCCAGTCCAACCCCCTGTCAAGAAGCAGGAAAATTGCATTCAAAACACCCCTGACAGATGACCATCCAGCCTCTGTTTAAAAGCTTCCAAAGAAGGAGCCTCCACTACACTCTGGGGCAGAGCGTTCCACTGCTGAACAGCTCTCACAGTCAGGAAGTTCTTCCTAATAGTCAGGTGGAATCTCCTTTCCTGTAGTTTGAAGTCATTGTTCCATGTCCTTGTCTCTAGGACAGCAGACAACAAGCCTATTCCCTCCTCCCTATGACTTTCCCTCACTTATTTATACATGGCCATCATGTCTTCTCTCAGCCTTCTCTTCTTCAGAATAAACATGCCCAGCTCTTTAAGCCAGTCCTCATAGGGCTTGTTCTCCAGTTTTTTGATCATTTTAGTCACCCTCCTCTGAAAACATTCCAGCTGGTCAACATCTCCCTTCAATTGTGGTGCCCAGAATTGGACACAGCATTCCAGGTGTGGTCTGACCAAGGCAGAAAGAGGGGTCGTATGACTTCCCAATATATCCAGAGGATACTCGTTTGGAATAATTAAAATTATCATTGGATTAGTTAATATAATACTTCATTATTTAGATTGAAAACAGGAGCTTTGTCAAAAAACATTCCATTTTACTTTGACTTTACCAGTCTTTCAGTCAGATGATGTTTACTTTCCAGATAATATCCTAGAAGACCGACCTGAGAATAAGTTAACCATCGATAAGCTCCAGTTTGAATACAGCGAAGAAACTGCCAAAAGAATCAAGAAGATGGACAGTGCCATATACAATAATAAAGGAAAGGTAGTACTTATCTTTCCCCCCAGATTTTTATCCATATTGAAGATGACTTGCCATCTATAACTGGAATTTATTAACAAGCTGAAAACTATTCAGGCCTGTTTATTGTAGCTTCAGCTTTGGTAGGCAAAGGTCACCTGCATGCAGAGAACAGTAAATGTGCATTATATGAAATGCCCGTATATACTCGAGTATAAGCCAACCTGAATATAAGCCAAGGCACCTCTTTTTACCACAAAAATCTGGGAAAACATATTGACTCGAGTATGAGCCGAGGGTGGGAAATGCAGCACCTACTGGTAAATTTCAAAATAAAAATAGATACCAATAAGAATTACATTAATTGATGCATCAGTAGGTTAAATGTTTTTGAATATTTACATAAATCTGTAGTTTATGATAAGACTGTCCAAGTCTGATTAAACCATTATTCTAACCTTCTTCAATGTAAATGTGCTTACGTATCCTTCTAATAATAATAAAGAGAGTAAAATAATAAATGTAATAATAATAGAGTAAATAATGAAAATGTAATAATAACAGTAATCATAGAGCAAAATAATAAATGTAATAATATTAGAGTAAAATAATAAAAGTAATAATAACAATAATAGAGTAAAATAACAATAATAGATTAAATAATGTAAATGTAATAATAACAATAATAATAGATTAAAATCATAAATGCAACAATTATAATTGTAATAACTAGAGTAAAATAATAAATGTAATAATAACAATAATAATAAATAGATAGAAATAATAAATTTAATAATAATAAATAGAGTAAAATAATACAAATAATAATAACCCAGTAAAATAATAAATCACTTTGACTCAAGTATAAGCTGAGAGGGGTGCTTTTTCAGCCTAAAACAAGGGCTTAAACACTCGGTTTATACTCAAATATATACGGTAGTCATATATTAAATTGATACTCCATCTTGTACCATTTTCTATGTTTGGTTGTAAAATCTAGACAGTGAAGAAAACTGACAGGAATAACATCAATGTGTTTTAAATATGGTGTCAGAGGGGAGCTCTGAAGATTGTAAAAATGACAAATAATTGGGTCCTACAGAAGCAATTATATTAGAAAGTGTGATAGTGTTTGGTAAAATGAGGCCCTTCTACACAGCCATGTAATCCAGATTATCAAAGCAGATATTCCACATTACCTGCTTTGAGCTGGAGCTGACAAATGGGAGCTCATCCCATATCGCGTAATCAAACCGCCAACCTTCAGGTCAGCGGTTCAGCCAGCACAAGGGTTTAACGCAGGGGTCCACAAACTTTTTAAACAGAGGGTCAGGTCTCAGTCCCTCAAACTGTTGGAGGGCTGGATTATAATTTGGAAAAAAATGAATGAATTCTTATGCACACTGCACATATCTTATTTGTAGTGAAAAAATACTTAAAATGCAAGAATTAAAATGATTAACCATGTTAACAAATATAAACATTAGTATTTCAATGGGAAGTGTAGGCCTGCTTTTGGCTGATGAGATAGTGTTGTTGTTGTTGTTGATGTTGTTGTGTGCTTTCAAGTTATTTCAGACTTAGGTTGACCCTGAGCGAGGGCCGGGTAAATGACCTTGGAGGGCCATATCTGGCCCCCAGCCTTAGTTTGAGGACCCCTGGTTTAACGCATTGAGCTACCACGACACCTTAAGAAAGGAAATGATAAAATGTCATATCCATAGTTTAAAATTTTAATATAGATGTTAAACTGCAGTTTGGACATATATTAATTATGATGACAGCTTTTTTTTCCATCGCTTGAATCGACTACAGGTTTATGACATGGAATTAGGTGAAGAATTCTATCTCTCTCAAAATAAAAAAGAAAGTAGACAGATAGCACCTGAACTGTCCGATCTTGTCATCTACTGTCAAGCTGTGAAATTCCCTGGTAAGTATATGATTCTGATTGCTAGTGATTGTTGTTTGGTTTGAATGGCAGTTAAGGCTCATTTTGGCTTTGGAGAATCCAAGCCACCTGAGATGCCAGGTTTTTTTGAGTAAAGAATGCTTACTCTATGGGAAATTAGGTAGGCCACATTTCTTTCTCTAAAGCGGGTCTTTATCCAGTCTCTTCACTTGCCAGATGCATTCTTTCCAGGCAAAGATTTGCTTCTCTGCTCCCTATTTTTTTCTCTATCTCAAATACACACACACACACACATCCACAAGACAACTAATTCTTTCAGTAAAGACTGGCTACCACCCAGTAGAGGAACTGAAAGAGTGTGATTAGATTGGAGTAGAAGCACAAGCAGGAAATTGGAGTGGAGTAAGAATAGACAACATGTGGAGACTGGGCCATCAGCCATGATACAATGGATGGGCTGTAGAAGGAAAATGGCCCAAAGCAAGAATTAAACTGATTTACAGAAGTATGAGAGGAAAAGTTAAAGAGTTTAATTTTGTTGCATAGAAAAATGAAAGCTTACATTATCTTTTTTTTGTAGTGAAATACTGCAGAGTATGTTACATAACTTATTGTGATAATAATTCTACCTTAAAGCATTTTTGTCAGTTTTGTCATTGGAGGACCTGATCTCAAAAGAAAATGTTTGCAATGGGATGTTTGGCAACATGCTGATCAGCATATGTCCCTTTTGCTACTAGCTATTTATTTATTTACGACATTTATATGCCGCCCTTCTCACCCCGAAGGGGACTCAGAGCGGCTTACAAGATATATGTACATACAATATATTATATTATTAGCATCAGGCTTGTAGCCAGGATTTTGATTCGGGGGGGGGGGGGGGCTGTCTGAGAGAAAGAGGGTCTACCCTAGCAAACCTTTTGTATCATTACCCCAATACCCCCATGCATATGGGATATATTGAGTATGGTGATCAGATCATGATATGAATAAACATAACAGTTTAAATAATGTACCAGTAAGGCCTTTTCGCAAACCACCCTGAGAATTTTGGGGAGGGGGGGGTGAAGCCCCCAACCCCCCCCCGGCTACATGCCTGATTAGCATAGTACAATATCAGTATTATATATTACTATATTGTACTATACTATTATATTGTAATATTATTAGTAATATTACATATAATATAAAATATTTATTTATAATGTATTATTATTATTAGTATGGGTGTATCTACAGTATATAATTAATTCAGTATAACACAATTTTAATTGCCATGGTTTTTTTTTAATAGTGTGAGAAGCAAATTTAGAATATACTGTAAATCGCTTCCGGTGTAAGACAATTGGCCATCTGCAAGGACGGGGGATGCCCAGATGTGTTACCATCCTGTGGGAGGCTTCTCTCATGTCCCTGCATGGGAAGCTGGGGCTGACAGATGGGAGCTCATCCCATCTCGCAGATTCAAATTGCTGTCCTTCAGGTCAGCAGTTCAGCCAGCACAAGGGTTTAACCCATTGCGCCGCAGTGGCTCCAGCATTGCTGTGGTTGAATGCTATGGAATAGTGGGAGTTGTAGTTTGGTGCCACACCTGTATTCTTGACCGAGAAGGCAAATGACCTTGCAAAACTACAACTTCCATATTTCCATTGTATTGAGCTATGGCAGTTAAAGTGTCACATTGCATTCATTCTATAAGGTCCACCCTATATCAGAATACGGTTTCATTTAAATGTGTCCCCATTCAATTGCTGTGAAACATGTGACTAAGGCCCCTTCCACACATCCCTCGGATCTGATCCCAGATTATCTGTTTATACCAGATTACCTGGTAGTGTACCTTCATATAATCCAGTTCAAAGCATATAATTTGGGATCAGATCCTGGGATATAGGGCAGTGTAGATCCAGCCTAAGCATGGTCAGGGCATCTAGAGGAAAAAGAGCTGGTTGTTCCACACAGCTGAATGAAACTCCACATATCTGCTTTGAACTGGAATATATGACAGTATGGACACAGATAATCCAGTTCAAAGCAGATATTGTGGGATTTTCTGCCTTGATATTCTGGGCTATATGTGGAAGGGCCCCAAGACCCTAACCCTAACCCAAGACCCCTTCTACACTGCCGTATAGTCCAGCCCCCCTCGATGGACTGTCACCTTGTCGTGGTGAGGGGGCTTGCACGTTCCAATGAACCTGTAGGCACAACAACTGGAGTCGTGCACTCCCAGGAGTGGCCGCGGGGGAGGTTCCAGACCAAGCACAGTCCGAAGACCCAAAGACCTCAACGGCGGAGCAGGCGGAGGATAACATGGCACATGTTACAATGGCTGCGAAGGCGGAAGAAGGCTGCAACAGACTGAGAAGCCACGGTCATTGTGTTAAACCACATCACCAGTGGAACCTCACTCTGTGAAGTCTGTGTGTTGATCAGTTGTGCACTGACCTCCACACATTAAAAAAACCCACGCACAGGCGTCTTCCAAAGAAAATAAAAACAAATCAACCAAAGCCCCATGGCGATCAGCGAGTGGCGACGGGGGCAGGACTGTGAAATCTGGAAGCCCCTAGTCACAGACTGGCACATGGGCGGTGGGTACGGACTCAGTCGTTCTACCTCAAGGTCCGAGGCAGTTGAGTAGTTCGGCAGCTGTATCCGCGACTGAGCAGCCCTATTGAGGACCCACTCTGCTCACCCCACATGGGGAGGGGGCTAGAAAAGGTGCCCTAAACATAGTCTGCCTCTCTATCCCTGACTGGACTGCCGCGTCCAGTGGGGTCACCACCCTGCGGCCAAAAAAGGAAAATGAACTTCGGTACGTGGAACGTACGGACTCTGATGGACAACAGTGGCAGTGAACGCCCCGAATGCAGAACTGCCATCATTGCAAGGGAGCTGGGACGCTTCAACATCGACATAGCAGCCCTTCAGGAGACCCGGAGAGCAGGAGAGGGACAGCTGAAGGAAGAAAAAGGAGGCTACACCTTCTTCTGGAAGGGACTGCCCGAAAAAGACCAAAGAATGCACGGAGTTGGCTTTGCCATCAGGAATGATCTGATGAAACATCTGCCCGAAGCACCCACTGGCATCAACGAACGACTCTCAACCCTCCGAATCGATCTTGCCAAAAACCAACGGGCAACCATCATAAGTGCCTATGCACCAACACTAGATGCTGACGAAGACATCAAGGAGAAATTCTACTGTCAGCTGGACACCGTCCTATCGGGGATACCTAAGGAGGACAAAATCATCCTCCTGGGGGACTTCAATGCAAGAGTCGGGCGAGACTTCGACCTGTGGCCAGGGACCATCGGAAAAGACGGGGTTGGAAACAGCAACTCAAATGGCATCCTGCTTCTCACCAAATGTGCGGAGCACAACCTTGTCATCACCAACACGCTCTTCCGCCAGAAAAACAAGTTCAAGACATCATGGAAGCACCCCCGGTCAAAGCATTGGCACCTCTTAGACTATGTAATCACACGCGCCAGAGAGCGCCGTGATGTGCTCCTCACAAGAGCCATGACAGGTGCTGACGACTGCTGGACTGACCACAGGCTAATTCGATCCTCGATGGCTATCAAGATCGCTCCCAAGCGCAGACTCCAAGGAAGGAAGACAAGGCGCAAAATGAACACCCAAGCCCTTCAGGAGCCCTCCAGACGAGCCCATCTCCAAACAGCACTCAAGGACCATCTACCCACAGTACACCCCGAAAATGTCGAGGAACATTGGAACAAACTGAAGACCTCCATCATCCAAGCCTGCGAAGAAACTATTGGATACCAAGCCAAGAAACATCAAGACTGGTTTGATGAAAATGACATCGAGATCCAACAGCTAATTGACAAGAAAAGGAAAGCCTTCCAAGCATGGCAGAGAGACATCAACTGTGTTGCTAAGAAAAAGATCTATGCCAGTGCAAAAGCTGAGGTCCAAAGAAGGACAAGAGAACTCAAGAACATCTGGTGGACAAAGAAGGCTGAAGAAATCCAACACCTGGCAGATACCCATGATGCTCAGGGATTCTTCAAAGCCACAAAGGTCATCTATGGACCAAGAAACCATGGGATACAGCCTCTACGCTCATCAGATGGAACCAAACTCCTGAAGGACCAAAACTCAATTGCACTACGTTGGAAAGAACACTACCAAAGCCTCCTAAACCGCAGCTCCAATGTGGCCGAAGAGGTCCTCTCACAAATCCCGCAACAACAAACCAGGGATGAGCTTGCAGCACTGCCTAGTTTGGAAGAAGTCAGCAATGCCATCAGCCAACAGAAGAATAACAAAGCCAGTGGACCAGATGGGATCCCTGCTGAAATCTTTAAAGAGGGAGGACCTGAGCTGACACACCAACTCCACCAGCTCATAGTAAAAGTGTGGGTGACCGAGAAAATCCCAGCAGATTTCAAGGACGCCACCATCATCACCCTCTTCAAAAAGGGGAAAGAACAGACTGCGGAAACTATCGAGGTATCTCCCTTCTAACCTCCGCTGGGAAAATCCTCGCAAGAATCCTTGCAAACCGCCTTCTGCCCCTCTCAGAAGACACCCTCCCAGAATCCCAGAACGGCTTCCGCCCCTCCAGAGGAACCGTGGACATGATCTTCACTGCACGACAGCTCCAAGAAAAATGCAGGGAACAAAACCAACCTCTGTACATGGCATTCATTGACCTTGCAAAGGCATTCGACACAGTGAATCGCAGCGCTCTCTGGACCATCCTCCAAAAAATCGGGTGCCCAAACAAATTTGTGAACATCCTGCGGCTCCTCCACGATGACATGATGGCAACAGTCTTGGACAGCAGTGGCTCCCAAAGTGACCCATTTAAGGTGGAATCAGGTGTCAAACAGGGATGTGTTATTGCCCCAACTCTATTCTCCATCTTCATCGCTATGATACTTCACCTTGTTGATGGGAAGCTTCCCACTGGAGTGGAAATCATCTATCGGACAGATGGCAAGCTATTTAACCTCAGCAGACTGAAAGCCAAAACCAAGGTTACAACAACATCTGTTATAGAACTCCAGTATGCTGATGACAATGTCGTCTGTGCGCATTCAGAAGAAGATCTACAAGCCACTCTAAACACCTTCGCAGAAGCATATGAGAAGCTCGGCCTGTCACTGAACATTGAGAAAACCAAGGTGCTGTTCCAGCAGTCGCCAGCCAATTTCTCTCCAATGCCAGTAATACAGCTTAATGGTGTCACATTAGAAAATGTGGACCATTTCCGCTACCTTGGCAGCCACCTCTCCACCAAAGTCAACATCGACACCGAAATACAACACCGCCTGAGCTCTGCGAGTGCAGCATTTTCCGAATGAAGCAGAGAGTGTTTGAGGACCGGGACATCCGTAGGGAGACCAAGGTGCTTGTTTATAAAGCTATTGTCCTCCCAACCCTGCTATATGCCTGTGAGACGTGGACTGTCTACAGACGTCACATGCAACTCCTGGAACGATTCCATCAGCGCTGCCTCCGAAAAATCCTGCAAATCTCTTGGGAAGACAAGCGGACAAACGTCAGTGTGCTGGAAGAAGCAAAGACCACCAGCATTGAAGCGATGGTCCTCTGCCATCAACTCTGCTGGGCCGGCCATGTTGTCCGGATGCCTGACCACCGTCTCCCAAAGCAGTTGCTCTACTCCGAACTTAAGAACGGAAAACGGAATGTTGGTGGACAGGAAAAGAGATTTAAAGATGGGCTCAAAGCCAACCTTAAAAACTCTGGCATAGACACTGAGAACTGGGAAGCCCTGGCCCTTGAGCGCTCCAGCTGGAGGTCAGCTGTGACCAGCAGTGCTGCAGAATTTGAAGAGGCACGAATGGAGGGCAAAAGGGAGAAGCGTGCCAAGAGGAAGGCGTGTCAAGTCAACCCCGACCGAGGCCGCCTTCCACCTGGAAACCAGTGCCCTCACTGCGGAAGAAGATGCAGAGCAAGAATAGGGCTCCACAGCCACATACGGACCCACAAGGAAATCCATAATGGAAGACCATCTTACTCGTCCAACGAGGGATCGCCTAAGTAAGTAAATAATCCAGCCCAAAGCTTATAATCTGACTATGGCAGTGTAGGAGGGGCCTAAGTAATATGAATACATTTGTCCATTCTTGCTATTATAATGTATGTGAGTCCAGAGTTGTTTCTGGTTCTGCAAAACTGATGATGGATCAGTTTTCACAGATTTCCCCTTCCAGATGTTTTAGGCACTCTCTACACTGCCATATAATCTAGATTATCAAATCAGATAAAACACATTATCTGCTTTGAACTGGATTATATGAGTCTACACTGTCCCCGGTGATGCAGCAGGTTAAACCTCTGAGCTGCTGAACTTGCTGATTGAAAGGTTGGCAATTCAAATCCGGGGAGCGGGGTGAGCTCCCGCTGTAAGCGCCACCTTCTGCCAACGTAGCAGTTCGAAAATATGCAAATGTGAGTAGATCAGTAGGTACAGCTCTGGTGGGAAGGTAATGTCGCTCCATTCAGTCATGCCAGCCATTTGACCTTGGAGGTGTCTATGGACAACGCAAGCTCTTTGGCTTAGAAATGGAGATGAGCACCACCCTCATAGTCCAGTTCAAAGCCCAGATTATATGGCAGTGTAGAAGGGGCCGCAATATAGCCTCAACACCTTAGCAAATCTATATAAATAAAAATGTAATATTCGTTTGTGGGTTTAACAGAACTCAAATACCACTGGACGAATTGACACCAAATTTGGACACATGACACCTAACAACCCAATGTATGTCCTTCACTCAAAAAAATTGATTTTGTCATTTGGGAGTTGTAGTTGCTGGGATTTATAGTTCACCTACAATCAAAGAGCATTCTGAACCCCACCAATGATGGAATTGAACCAAACTTGGCACACAGTTCTCCTATGAAGAACAGAAAATACTGGAAGGGTTTGATGGGCAGTGTCCTTTGGTTTTGGAGTTGTAGTTCGCCTACATCCAGAGATCACTGTGGACGCAAACAATGATGGATCTGGACCAAACTACACAAATACTCAATATGCCCAAATGTGGAGTTTGGGGAAAATAGACTCTTGACATTTGGGAGTTGTAGTTGCTGGGATTTATAGTACACCTACAATCACAGAGCATTCTGAAGCCCACCAATGATAGAATTGGGCCAAACCTCTCACACAGAACCCCCATGTGGGCCACAGCAACATGTGGCAGGGGACGGCTAGTATATTTATAAAGCATTAAAAACAGACACTCGTACGTCTGTATTTAAAGTAAATGAGATGTGGAAGCCCTGGAAAGCAAAGGAACTCCACGGGCATCCCATATTTTCCAGAAATAGTTGGATTGGGACATCAGTGTATTGCATTGCACTATGTCTCTGTTGCAGTCTATTGTTTTCCAGCATAAGATATTAGTATGAGAATATAAACTCGTCAACCTAAAATGTAAAAAATGTCCCAGAAAATCCTGCACACTTTTTTGAATCTATTCGTTACGTGTCTCTTTCTCCCTCTCAAATGAAAATAGGTCTGTCGACTCTCAATCCATCTGGCTCTAGCAGAGGGAAAGAAAGAAAGAGCAGGAAGTCCATTTTTGGCAACAATCCTGGAAGACTGAGCCCTGGGGAGCCAGCAATGCTTGCCAAAGCATCTGGAAAAGGTAAAGTGGGGATCTTCCCTTACCAATTGCAGGGAATGGCTCTGTAATCCAGCACATAATACCAGACCTGTCAGTTGAAGATCAAACGCATTGCTACTCACGCACTGCGTGCAAAAGTTTGGCCTAATTTTCCATTAGCAATGCCACCATTACAATGACTTCATTAGAAAGAATGGATCTACTGTGAAGTAATGAACTGTTGGAAGAGTGTTTGATTACTCGAAACAGAAATGCAGCCGTTTTAAGTTTTATTCCTTTGGAAAGCCATATTTTGGGCCATTTTTTTTCTTATGAGGTTGGTTTATATGATCAAGGTGTGCAGAAAAAAACAAAACAAAGAACCCTGTGATTTCAGTGGAAGGGTTAATATTTTTATTTAATTCTGAGAAGATGTTAGTGGGAAAGGAAGATGAGCAAACCTAGGCAGATGTTTCCCTTCCTCACTTAAAAGTCCTTTTAGTCTTTCCATAAAGGAAATAATAAAATGAAAATATTTTTCAGTTGCATCTCCAAGACCAGTATAGTACCCTAATAAAAAATTAATTGCCTAAAAAGAGAAAAAAAATACGAAATAGCCAATGCGGGCATAACATCCAAGCCACGGTAAAGAGATTGGTGTTGATTCCTGTTCCTTTCCATCTACCATTAACTTTTTGTTACAGTTACCATTAACCTTTTGTTTAAGAAGTAAAATCTACTTAAATGGCAGATTAGGCAGAGAATAGTTAATTTGATTCAAAGAAAAGATGGAGTGAAAAAGATACCTCCAATTTCTTGGGCCCCTTCTACACTGCCTTATAAAATCTAGATCTACTTTGAACTGGATTATATTGCAGTGTAGACTCCTATAATCCAGTTCAAAGCAGAAATGTGGATTATCTGCTTTGTCAATCTGGATTATATGGCAGTGTAGAAGGGGCCTGTGTCTGTAATGAGAGGTAAATCCAGTGTTCGCTCTATGTAGCATAGCCACACTGAAATGGATAGTTAGTCATCATGACTAACTTCAGTTCTATTGATTGAAGTAGATCAAAGTTAAGTTGGATTTAGTCCTAGTATACATTTCTGCTATTTTAATGAACTACAGCAGGGGTCCACAAACTTTTTAAACTGAGGGCCAGGTCTCAAACTGTTAGAGGGCCAGATTATAATTTGAAAAGACATGAATTAATTCCTATGCACACTGCACATATCTTATTTGTAGTGCAAAAAAAAAAAACCCCACTTAAAAACAATACAATTAAAATGAAGAACAATTTTAACTAATATAAACTTATTAGTATTTCAAGGGTAGTGTGGGCCTGCTTTTGGCTGATAAGATAGGATTATTGTTGTTGTTGTTGCTTTCAAGTCATTTCAGACAGGTTGACCCTGAGCGAGGGCCAAGGAAATGACCTTGGAGGACCGTATCTGGCCCCTGGGCCTTAGTTTGAGGACCCTTAAACTACAGTATCTTTGGAATGGTATCCGTGTTTTCATTTGTCTACAGCTGACAAAATATGCCCTCTCGGTGTATTTTCTAGGCCATCCAGTATGGTATTCTTGAGTTAGAAGACCTTCACTTCAATTCATGGTTTTACACATACAAACAGAGCCTAGGAATTTATCTCCCCTAGATACATGGATACAGATGCATGATTTCAAAATAATCTATAGCATTTATACTCTTCCTTTCCTCCATCACAAGGGTCAGCAATCATATACATTTGGAGCTAAACCCACATCTCTTTAGTTTCTGCAAAATTGTTGTATCACATGACTTTCTGTCATACTCTAAAATATATAGACAGACAAACAGAAGCTATTTAACTTCCAGCTTCATGAGGGTATGCTTTGAATTCCGGCCACTGGGGGAGCTGTCACTTCACCATCCACTTTTGACACCGATGGAGTACTTCCTCATTCTTTTGCATGCTACTGGAGAGTTTTATGGCATCGTAAATTAGTTAAATTTGCTTTCCAGCATAAGCGGTACCTACATTTCCTACTTGACAAATGCAACTGTCTTTTGGGCTGCAAAGGTCGACAGCAAGCTAGACAAATGGTTGGGAGCTTATTGAACCCGGGCTGGCTTCAGACTCATGACCTTTCGATCAGTAGTGATTTTAATGCAGCTGACTTCCAACTAGCTGCGCCACAACCCAGTCCTCTTCTTGTAGATTTTTTTGAAAACAGGAAAATGAAACAGGATTCTGTATGTATGATTTGAAAATATCATTCATTTTCCAGGTGCCTTTGACAGCGCACGGCAAAACTGGGAAGAACCTTGTCCTCCTGCTTTTAGCCCTACGACTTCTCTCAGTTCTATAATCAGGACTCCTCGATGTTATCATATCTCCTCTTTGAATGAAAATGCTGCCAAGCGCCTATGCAGGCGATACTCTCAGAAGCTGATCCAGCACACCACTTGCCAGCTCTTGAGAACATACCCGGCTGCTACACGCATTGATTCCTCCAATCCTCACCCGCTTCTCTTCTGGCTTCACGGAGTACAGCTAGTGGCACTGAACTATCAGACGGATGGTACGGGCACTCTGATTCTTTTGTAATTTAATATATAACCAAACTAAACATCACGTAATAAATTATCTGTTTTTAATGACATCTTGTGTGGCTATGCTTATATCATTAGATCATTAAAATTAATATAAGATGGAACTGGCACCCTTATTATTGGTTGAGTGTTTACATTTTTTATTTTTGCAAATGCCCTTGTTTGTTATGAAATCAATTTTACAAAACTGACATGAAGTAACAATTTTTAAAATTAAATTCTGTTTCTAACAAGTTGTCTTCCTTCCTAGTCTTAGAATCTAAATATTGAAATGCTTCTTCCCTGTAGATCTTCCCTTGCACCTGAATGCAGCAATGTTTGAATCAAATGGTGGCTGTGGCTACGTTCTGAAGCCTCCTGTCTTGTGGGATCGGAACTGCCCAATGTACCAACATTTTTGTCCTTTAGAAAGAGATTTAGACAATCTGGAACCAGCTATTTATTCATTAACAGTAAGTAAAACCTATTAACATACTTGATCATAAACCAAAATAGTACATACTAGGGCAGCACAGAGGAGAGTATTTTCAGTACAGTGGAACCTTTACTTAAGAGCAACTCAACCTAAGAGCATTTTGTTGCTCAGCCCAGGATTTGCTTTGACATAAGAGCAGCATTTTGAGTTAAGAGCTAGCACCAGAGGGAGTGCTAGGGAAAGAGTATAAGGCTTTAGAGCTTCAAGGGAGCAGCCTCCATGCCTCATGCTCTTGTCCTCTTGGGGAGATTGCTGTTTGCTTTGCTCTTGTCCGTTTTGAGGAACTTTGGGTTAGTTGATTTTGTGTGGTTTTTATTCCTGCTTTGTTTGTTTTCATGAAGAGAGAGAGGGAGCAAGAGAGGGAGGGAGGCTGGAATGAGGACAGTATGAAGAAAATGATGCTTCTGCCTCTTCGTTTTGTGCTTCCTTGCCACAATTTTGTGTTTCTACCGTTGTGTTGCAAGTTGATCCCTCTTTTTATTGTTCCATGGGAATGTCCATTTATACATCATTCGTTATTTATAAAGTACATTTTCTTATTTAAAAACACGTAACAATAAATGGGGGGAGGTTCGGTGTTTGTGTGGAAAGCATTAATAGCATTTCAATGGGAAAATTCACTTTTGAGATAAGCATTTTGAGTGAAGAGCTCAGTCAAAGAATGAATGTATCACTGTATTCCTGATACTTTGTTTTATATTTTTTATTGTCATTAATGTATTTTTTTCCTTATAAACCGTCCTGTTATATTTTGCAATCACAGATTGTCTGTAATTTTAGTAAGTTATTAATAATAATAACTAATAATAAATCTTTATTTATATGCCACTTTTCCCCCATGAAGGGACCCAAAGCGGCTTCCAACATACTAAATATAGTACAAAACAACAGCCATTAAAACACACATATAAAACAATCAATAAACATAAATATGCATTTTGACAACAATATACATTAATGTGTAGTCTTGTCAGATCCTATTGCATTTCGCTCCACTCAATAAAAATTAGCGTTCCTGACACTTCAGTCTAGGTTTTCAGCTGCTTTTTGATGGAGAAAAGAGAGGGTGCTGTTTTAATTTCCTTGGGGAGGATATTCCAAAGGCTTGGGGTGGCCACCAAAAAGCCCTCTCTCTTGTCTCTGCCAACCGCATTTGGGACTGTGGCAGAAGCGAGAGTAGGGCCTCCCCTGATGATCCTAGGGATTGGGCAGGTTGGTATGAGGAGATGCGGTCGGATAAGTAAGGTGGACCTTACTTAGGTGGACCTAAGTATTAATGCTACCATGCGATATTTGGTTTGTATTGGGACTCCTACAATTATAGATGGGAGCGACAAAAAAGATTTGAACTTGTCGAAGGCTTTCATGGTCGGAATCACTGGGTTCCTGTCAGTTTTTCGGGCTGTATGGCCATGTTGCAGTAGCATTCTTTCCTGATGTTTTGCTTGTCAGCCATAGATGCAAGCAAAATAGACAATGGAAAATAGAGATTATGATATAAAAAGAATAAACCATAATTAAAGAAGAATCAGTGGAGGAGTGAATCATTTCCTATAAATATAGAAAAAGATACCACAGACCGATGAAGATTAGATGGAGGTCCTTTTATTTATATATTTATTTTACTATTTTTTTTCTACTTTTGCTTTTTTGCTCTTTTTTATTATTGCTTTGGGGTTTTTCTTCTTTTTTGTCTTTTTAAAATAATAATAATAAATAATAAACTTTATTTGTACCCCGCCACCATCTCCCCAAAGGGGACTCGGAGCGGCTTACATGGGACCAAGCACAAACAAAAATTACAATATAAAAATACAAATTACAATCAAATAAACAACATAACAATAAAATATAAAACATCAAAGCATATAAAACAATATACACAAAACATAAGAACTGAGCATAATGGCAGCAAACAAAGGGTGGGCCGCATGTACATAAAATAATTTAAACACTCTTCTCTCTTTTCCTACTTTTCTATTTACAACACCAATGTTCTCCCACTTTTGATGTATAAACTTTACTCTTTCTTTAACTTTATAATATTCATTGATAAAAATATATTTTAAAAAATATCAGGAGAGAATGCTACTGGAAGATGGCTGTACAACCCCCCCCCCCAAAAAAAAAAACCTCACAGCAACCCATTTTAATTAACTGTTTCAATACTTTGTGCTGTTACTGAGATGCAAGTATAGAGACCGATTTCAGACACAAAGCTTTCTATTTTGATGTATGGAGGTAAAGGGACATCTGGTGTCAAAGCATATGGAAGTTTTCCACTTGGGTGCTTGCCAGAAGGAGCTGCTGTTCTGTATCAAAATGATCAAGTAGCAAATTACAAGACCACTGTTTCAGTCCTGTGTATGTGTAGATGTGCTACTATTTGTTGTTGCTGAACAGCCAGTAAGCTGTTAGGAATTGTGGGAGTTGAAGTCCAAAATACCTGGAGGATCAAAGTTTGCCCATGCCCGAGGTGTACATTACAGTCATACTTCTGAAACCCAATATTCATTAATTTATTTGTTCTCAGAAGCACAAGCTTGAGAAAGATAATTTATTTCAAACCCTCCACTGCATTGTCACCCTCTGCCCTTGTTTTGTGTTCCAGGTTGTGTCTGGGCAGAACGTTTGTCCCAGCAACAGCACAGGAAGTCCATGCATTGAAGTGGATGTGCTTGGGATGCCTCTGGATAGCTGCCATTTCCGGACGAAGCCCATTCATCGCAATACTCTCAATCCCATGTGGAATGAGCAGTTCCCCTTCCGGATCCACTTTGAGGACCTGGTATTCCTTCGCTTTGCAGTTGTTGAAAACAATTCCTCAGCTGTCATGGCTCAAAGAATCATCCCACTGAAGGCTCTAAAGAGAGGTAAAATCAATGTTTATGTGGGACTATGATGCTCAGGGCTAATTGCACAGATAGGATCTTTCCCTTGCTCCCAAATATCTCTCTGTAATGTTTTATTAATTGTGATGTATAGTAATCACTGGTTTCCTGCCTTGTTTCAGTTCTCCTTCCAGAATCTCAGAAAGAGCTATACAGTTGTGTCAAAGCATACATTGCTTTTTCAAGTTTATGGTTGTATAAAAGTTCCTTTTTACATATTAAAATACAGATTGAGTACCTTTATCTCGAATTATGAAACCCAAAATACTCCCAGTTTTTTTCAAGTGGGTTGGTGAGAAAGTGACACATTTGCTTTTTGATGGTTTGATATACACATAGTTGTCTTAAGCAAAAAAAAATCAAAATATTGTCTGTCAAATTATCTTTAGATAATGACATATACACCTTAAAGGTAAAGGTTTCCCCTTGGCATTAAGTCTAGTCGAGTCTGACTCTGAGGGGTGGTGCTCATCTCCATTTCTAAGCCAAAGAGCCTGTGTTGCCCACAGACACCTTCAAGGTCAAGTGGCTAGCATGACTGCATGGAGCGCTGTTATCTTCCCACTAAAGTAGTACCTATTGATCTACTCACATTTGCATGTTTTCGAACTGTTAGGTTGGCAGAAGCTGGGCCTTTCAGTGGGAGTTTACCCAGTCCCATGGATTCAAACTGCTGACCTTCCAGTCAGCAAGTTCTGCAGCTTAGCAGTTTAATCCGCTGTGCCTCTGTGACCCCTAATATAACTTATTTCTAGATGTAAAGTATAAGGTAGTCCCTGAGTTACAAACATCTGACTTATAAGCGACTCATACTTAAGAACAGGTTGAGACAACAGGAAGTGAGAGAAATCTACCCTTCGGAAGGGAAATCTACTCCTGAGAGAGTTATCATGGGTGAAAGAGGTCTCCACTGAAGCTTTGTCACCAATCCTTGTTTCCACAACAAGCCAAATTTTTCAAAATCCAATTCTCACATGGGCAGAAAGTGAGGTGAAATCTTCTGAACAGGGGCACAGACAGCAAAACAAACATCACAGAAGTGTTCACCCTTTCATATGCTATCTATCTACACACACATACACAATTTTGTATATGTGGCTGAAGTTACACTTCAATTTTGGCTGAAGTTACACTTTAAAAATGTACTTGTTCCAACTTATAAGCAAATTCAACTTAAGCAGAAACCTACAGAACCTATCTTGTTCGTAACTTGGGGTCTGCCTGTATATGAAACATAAAGGAATGTTGTGTTTAGACTTCAAGATATCTCCTTAGTAAAGGTAAAGGTTTTCCCCTGACATGAAGTCCAGTCGTTCCGACTCTGGGGTGTGGTGCTCATGTCCATTTCTAAGCCGAAGAGCCAGCGTTGTCCGTAGACGCCTCCAAGGTCATGTGGCCAGCATGACTGCAAGAAGCGCCTTATGTACATGCAAATGTTCCAAAATCTACCCCACCCCAAACCCAATAAGATCCATAATACAGAACACATCTGATCACAAGCATTCCAGATAAGGAATACTCTCAACCTAGGCCCACACATTTTCAGTACTTCTGTAATGTATTCAGTGTATTGGCTTTCTTCAAAATATTTTTGAAAACAATACACACTGATCGGTCACTTTTTTTGTTCTGTGTATATTTCTTTTTTTTTTAATATGATGTTTAAAAATCTGTTTGTGTTTACAATGTTACCTACATAATGAATCCCTAAATCCTAGAGTCAGTCTAAGACATTCAGTGCACTTTTGTGATGTCTTGAGTGAAAGAGTATTTCACTTGTTATTTTAGAAGATACACGATGCCCATTTGGGAAATGTCCTATCCTGAAGGGACATCTCTGTTTCCTCCCTTCTGGTAATACACTAGAGGGTGGAGGGTATGTCTGTGGCCCTTTCCACACAGTTGAATAAAATCCCACATTATCTGCTTTGAACTGGAATATATGGCGGTGTGAACTCAGATAACCCAGTTCAAAGCAGATATTTTGGGATTTTCTGCCTTTAGATTCTGGGTTATATGGCTTGTGTATATGTTTATATTTCAGAACATTCTGAACTTAATACACGAGACAGATTAAATTGCAAACTTGTGCAGAAGGTAGTAAAGTTTCCTTTCAACATGGAGACCTCTGACAAAACATTTTAGAATGGCTTTTGCTTTGACCTTCAACATAGTTTGGGGGTGTTCCGCTCAAAATGTACATTCATAAGTCCTTGTCTCTTGTAGAACTTCTCTGGATCAAGGCAATATATGGCAGTGCTTTATATTACAAGCTCAGTAAACAACCACTGTTATATCCTGCTTTGCATGATATGCCCTCTTTGATTCTACCTTTTCCTTCTTGATCCCTAATTATGTGTTATTTCAGGCTACAGGCATCTCCAGCTACGAAGCCTGCACAACGAAGCACTAGAAATCTCAAGTTTGTTCATTAACAGCCGAAGAATGGAAGAAAATTCTTCTGGAATTGCTATACCTGCTTCTTTGGTAACTAAACTGAAATGGAATTCTGATCGAGATTGTACCTCGTAACTTGTTTAAATACCAAACTCATAACTGGTGAAATACTACTGCCACGCTTGTAACATGACTTTCAAAGCCTGGTAGATAAATAAGATTTTGTCTCCTTTGTCATCATCAAAGTTGAGGGTGATTTTCACGCTGATTGATAGACAATTTTGCTAGGAAGGCAAAGGATAACCTCTGATTTATGTAACTTGAGTAATAAAATATTCTAAAGCAGGGTAATATTTCACATAAACTATTTATTTATTTATTTATTACTTCACTTGTATACCAAGTGGCGCACCGGGATTGTGGCGCAGCTGGCTGAGTGTCAGCTGCATTAAGATCACTCTGACCAAAAGGTCATGAGTTCGAAGCCAGCCCGGGCTGGAGTGGGTGTCCAGCCATTGTGTAGCCCGTTGTCGACCTTTGCAACCCGAAAGACAGTTGCATCTGTCAAGTAGGAAAATAAGGTACCACCTTGTGTGGGAGGCTAAATTTAACTAATTTATGAGGCCATAAAGAAAAAGACTCCGGGGAATGTGGAATGCGGAAGAACTTCATCGGTGTCGTTGATGGACGATGAAAAGCAGCAGCTCCCCTGGCGGCCAGAAAAAAAGTTAAATAGCCTTTGTCTGTTAAATGTTGTTTGTCAAACTGGCATTGAATGTTTGCCAGATATGTGTTTACTGTAATCCGCCCTGAGTCCCCTGCGGGGTGAGAAGGGCGGAATATAAGAACTATAAATAAATAAATAAATAAATAAATAAATAAATAAATAAATAAATAAATATACCAACAGGATTATCTACTTTAATAATCCTGTTGAAAACTCAAAGCAGTTTCCAACATAAATATGGCAAAATTCAATGCCTCACATACATAAAAGTCTAACAAAAAACAATAACAACATACAGCTATCAATTAAATCATAAAAACGCAATGACATTTAAACATTAAACATTAAAATGTATGTATATGTATCCATATAAATAACCAGGTGACTTTGAATCACTGTGTACTAATAAAAATGAAACGTACACAGTATCAGAATGAACCTTGTAAGCCAAGGATATCCCTGCCCAACCAAAAGTTTTTCTTGGTATTTTGGTTCTTGGGATTATTTGGGTACTGATTTGGAAAAATGCATTGGATAGACCATAGAATCATAGAATAGAGACCTCATGGGCCATCCAGTCCAACCCCCTGTCAAAAAGCAGGAATATTGCATTCAAATCACCCCTGACAGATGGCCATCCAGCCTCTGTTTAAAAGCTTCCAAAGAAGGAGCCTCCACCACACTCCGGGGCAGAGAGTTCCACTGCTGAACGGCTCTCACAGTCAGGAAGTTCTTCCTCATGTTCAGATGGAATCTCCTCTCTTGTAGTTTGAAGGCATTGTTCTGCGTCCTAGTCTCCAAGGAAGCAGAAAACAAGCTTGCTCCCTCCTCCCTGTGGCTTCCTCTCACATATTTATACATGGCTATCATATCTCCTCTCAGCCTTCTCAACCACATCAACTCTAGTTTTTTAAATGTTGTTTTAATTATTTTTTATGGGCAAGCAGATGAAGATTGGTATACTGCATATATTCTTTATCTCTAGAGCTGATGGGTGAAAATGCTGTCATTTTTTTGGAACCGGCAGGTCAAATACAACCAGAAACAGGTCTAACATTTGAGGCACCAAAATTTATGTTGACCAGTGTAATTTGATACATATTAGCAAGCTTATTGTTGGTAACCTTAGGAGGTGTAAACCAACCTTATGCCTCCTTATGTCATATTTGGTAATCCCAGAAGCTGTCATCCCCTCCTCCCTCCTTAACCAAATGCCCCCCTATATGAATTTTACACTGGATGTACTTTAGAGCTACTACAGCCCCTCGTGACCATTCTGTGACTGATAGAGAGCAGGGGAATGATTGGATAATAATCTGGTTAGGGCGCTGTGAGAGAGCTGGTGTGGTTATGTAGTTGAGTGTTAGTACCTTATCACATTGGTCTTTGGCTCTGTCCTAGGATACTTCCAGGACAGAGCCTGCCAGAACCTATCATATGATGCAGGGCTACTTCCAGTGGCATTCTAGGACGGAGCCTTGGGAACACAGGAGGCTCCCTGCGTTCTCATAGGACAAGCTGGGGGACGTGCAGGGAGAAACTGAGCAGCAATGGTTTCCCTTGTGGGCTGGGGAAACTATACAGGGTGTAGGGCAATGGTTTCCCCTGCTGCCCACCGAATTTCCTTGCAGTCCCAGGAATGCCCCCGCTGTTCCCCAGCTTGAGGACCTCAATGTGATGAGGTCCTTAGATTAAGACTCCAAGACTACAAGGTTTGAGTTTCCACTGGGCTATGGAAAACCCACTTGGTAATCTTAGCCAAGTCATAGTTTGCTAGCCTCGTAGCAAGGACATTTCAAACCCCTTCTGAAAAAAGCTTGCTAAAAATAATCCCGTGATAGGTTCACCTTTGGGTCACCATCACCCAGAAATGACGTGAAGTCACACAATAGGAAAAATAGCAACAACACCATGTTCCCAGATACAGAATGATTGCATCAAGCACTGAGATCTTCCAGAGTCCTCCAGAATTCTCAGCAGATGATTTAATAATTTTGCATCTGCTTACAGGAACATGGCCAGATGCTTCTCCAGTCACCTCCGCCCCCTCCACCAGCCACAGAATAGCTATGACGATACTTACTTATTTATCGTGTCAGAAGCAAATTGAGAATACAGTTATAATGTGTGTGTGTGTGTGTGTACATATGTATATGTGTGTGTGTGTGTGTGTACACACACACAGACATAAATATATATACCACAAACAAAGTTTAAAGCTTGGCATTATACTGTGACGGTACTGAAGTTGGTCCACACTAAGGCCCCTTCTACACTTTCGTATAATCAAGATACCGTATATACTCGAGTATAAGCCGACCCGAATATAAGCCGAGGCACCTCGTTTTACAACAAAAAACTGAGAAAACGGATTGACTCGAGTATAAGCCGAGGGTGGGAAATGCAGTAGCTACTGGTAAATTCCAAAATAAAAATAGATACCAATAAAATTGCATTAATTGAGACATTGGTAAGACTGTCCTCTGATTAAAGCATTATTCTAACCTTCTTCAGCGTAAATGTGTTTACATATCCTTCCAATAATAAAGAATAAAATAATAAATGTAATAATAACAATAATAAATAAAATAATAATAATAATAATAATAATAATAATAATAATAATAGAGTAAAATAATAAAAAACCTTGACTTGAGTATAAGCCAAGGGAGACTTTTTCAGCCTAAAAAAAGGACTGAAAAACTAGGCTTATATTAGAGTATATACAGTAATTAAAGTAGATAATCCTGTTTATCTGCTTTGAACTGGATTTATATTTGTCGACCTTGCCATATAATCCAGTTCAAAGCAGATAACCTAGATTTTATATGGCAGTGTGGATGGGGCTTAAGTCTGAAAATAGCAAATTATCAGCTGTAGCTCAATTCTTCATGTAGAATTATTATGCTTCACTGTGCCATATGGGATTCCAACCAATGTGTATGAACTTCGTGCTGGATCTTAATGCAGAACATCATTCAGATAAACTAGTACAAACTCATACTGATGTAAGCAGAACCCTACATATGTGATTTTGTCTGCAAATGCATCACTAGCCAACCTTCATAATCGTTTCCTGTATTTTATGTAAATAACTTTCATAAACTCAACTTGGAACCTGAAATTGAGCAACACAAATAAGTTCCCACTTTAAAAAAAAATGAAGATGACTCTGTTGTCAGTAATCTCCACTTTAACAGTTAGAGTCATAGTCCATTCCAGTATAAACAAAGTCTTGCATACAGTATAGAGCTCTTTTCCATGCCAAGTCACTCTTATTTTTCAGGATTTTCTTGCCTCCTGAGCAGACTGTTCAATCATATTAGTCAAATAATGCTCAGAACTGTGTTATATTAGCGCAAATAGTTCCAAAAATGTGTATAAGCCAAGTGGTGTATGAAAGTGATCTTATTTTAAAAAATGAAACTTTACAAATATCTCAGCATGGCTCAACCCAAACGGCTGTATAGAAAAATGAGAAATTGAACTTGCTAGGTGTTTTCATCCCTTTATTCACTCTAAAGGGGTTCATTTTATTTATGTATGTATTTATTTACCACATTTATATACTGCCTTTATCAACCCAGAGGTGACTCCGGGCGGTTCACAATTGACAACAATTTGATGCCTCAACAATTGTAACAAATAAAACAATCATAAAATAGTGTTAAAAACATTTAGCATACAATATAAGAATATAAGAACCGTACAAAGCCTTAAAAACATTGTCGTGATGTTTTTTATTTTCTTTCCATTCTTGCTTGCCGCGAAGCAGGCAATTGAATTTGTCTTCCTCTGGTTTGTTGGAGCTCTGCCAGTTCTCTCTCAGTTATCAATTTGAAAAAAGTTATTCATCCCCTCTAATTTGAACTAATTCAGTTTATGTAGACCTTCTGTCTTTTCTTCATCCTCATTTATTTGTATTACTGTGCCCTTAGTCATTGCTTATTTTATTTAGAAAGACTGGATCAACGTAGCTGTTGAGTATCTCAGCCTTTCTTTTATCCAGTAGTCAAAGACCAGACCTTCCTTTCTAATAATGTCATAGGCTTTCCTGACATATATTTTTGGTTGCTGAACCTTGGATGTATTTTTAAGGCCCCATCTACACTGCCATATAAAATCCAGATTATCTGCTTTGAACTGGATTATATGGCAGTGTGGACATAATCCAGTTCAAAGCAGATAATGTGGATTATCTGCTTTGATAATCTGGATTTTATGGCAGTGTATAAGGGGCCTAAGAGACATCTAATATGAAGGTTATTTTAAGATATTATCTGAGGTCTCTCATCGGCAGACATACAACAATGCAGCTACGACTCCTCCAAAAATACCTTTTAAGCCATGCAACCCCTCAAAAGATTCCGAATCATAGAATCATAGAATCAAAGAGTTGGAAGAGACCTCATGGGCCATCCAGTCCAACCCCCTGCCAGGAAGCAGGAATATTGCATTCAAATCACCCCTGACAGATGGCCATCCAGCCCCTGTTTAAAAGCTTCCAAAGAAGGAGTCTCCACCACACTCCGGGGCAGAGAGTTCCATGGCTGAACGGCTCTCATAGTCAGGAAGTTCTTCCTCATGTTCAGATGGCATCTCCTCTCTTGTAGTTTGAAGCCATTGTTCCGCGTCCTAGTCTCCAAGGAAGCAGAAAACAAGCTTGCTCCCTCCTTCCTGTGGCTTCCTCTCACATATTTATACATGGCTATCATATTTCCTCTCAGCCTTCTCTTCTTCAGGCTAAACATGCCCAGCTCCTTAAGCCTCTCATAGGGCTTGTTCTCCAGACCCTTGATCATTTTAGTCGCCCTCCTCTGGACACATTCAAGGCTTTGGAAAGCTGGAAAATGAGCAACTGCAATAGTGTACGCAACAGGATAAGGTCCAACACTTTGGATATCTCCTTTAACGTCTGGAAAGAAAATTACTGAGAGCTTAGCTGTAGTGAGATCTTAGGCTCCTTCTACACTGCCACAGAATCCAGATTATCAAAGTAGATAATCCACATTATCTGCTTTGAACTGGATTATATGAGTCTACACTGCCATATAATCTAGTTCAAAGCAGATAATCTAGATTTTATATGGCAGTGTAGAAGGGGCCTTTGAGCAGATTCACTACTTCCCTGGTACTATCTGTTTACGTTCTTGCCGGATGGGTTAGATTGCTAAAGCTTATTAAATATGACCAAACTCTTTCAGAATAAAACATTCAGTAAATAATGACTTTTCTTTTGAACAGCGGTTTAGCACACCAGAGAGGAGGTCGGCTGCGCTCTACAAAGTTACCATACATGGAGTCCCGGGTCCAGAACCTTTTACACTTTTTACTATTAGGCAAGGAACCACAGCTGCTCAGCTCCTGCATCAAGTAAGTCTACAAATTGCATCTGTCCAGAACTTGATTCTGTGGTAATGTAGTAATGCAAGAAATAACATGGTGGACTTTATATTAACACTACTTTTCGCAGTAGATGATAAGAATTAAAAGTCAGCTGATGTTAAAGAGTGCATATGGGTGGCATTCTTCAGTCATTCTTGGTCTAAGTTCCATCACTATAATTCTGATTTTTTAAAATACGTGTTAGAGACCCAGCATGACTCAAGTATTAGGACTGGATATTAGAAATTGAATGTGATCTATAACATTATGTAACAAATTTAGAAAAATGTTCTCTTCCTTTTTTGAAAGTATTACTTCCTGTTTAATTGTGCGGGACTTACTTCAAAAGTAGTTTGTTTATTTATTTATTTATTTATTTATTTATTTACAGTATTTATATTCCGCCCTTCTCAACCCGCAGGGGACTCAGGGTGGATTACAATGTACATATACATGGCAAATATTCAGTGCCATAGACACACAACTTGATAGACACTCAGAAACTAGTTAACAATCCAACTTTTTTCATGAGGGTATTCTGGCCACCAAGAGAGCTATCGCTTCACCGTCCATTTGTGACACTGATGAAATACTTCCTTATTCTTTGCATGCTTGCTGGAGATTTTTATGGCCTCGTAAATTAGTTAAATTAGCCTCCCCACATAAGTGCTACCTAAATTTCCTACTTGACAGATGCAACTGTCTTTCGGGCTGCAGAAGTCGACAACAAACTACACAAATTGGTCAGAAGCTCACTCCGACCCGGACTGGTTTCGAACTCATAACCTTCAGTCAGTAGTGATCTTAATGCAGCTGACTCCCAGCCAGCTGCACCACAGTCCCGGTGCTACTCCAGACACTTCATTTTTGTGGCTAACACAAACTATGTTGAATTGGTTGTGACTCTAGGAGGTATTCATTTTAAAAACTATAGCAAAATGTGCTATAGCAGGGTGTCCCAGAAAAACAAAGTTTTTGCAATTTAATAAACTTTCCCCATGTTTTTATGATAGCGCCAGTTAGGAAATGATATTTATAACCCAGGAACAAAAATGTGTTACGTAGAGTCATGTTTGTTAAATGATAACATCTCATTCTTGTACTTTAGCCCCTTTTCTCCTCCAAATAATAATAATAATAATACTTTATTTATATTCCCTGAGGGGATTCAAAGCAGATTATGACATACACACATAGGCAAACTGTGTTTTTCAGTGTTTCTATGAGTGACAGTCACTTGTTGGCCTGATAGGTGTATTGTGTCCAAATTTGGTATCCATTTGTCCAGTGGTTTTTGAGTTATGTTAATCCCTCAAACGATCTGTCAGGGGTGATTTGAATGCAATATTCCTGCTTCTTGGCAGGGGGTTGGACTGGATGGCCCATGAGGTCTCTTCCAACTTTTTGATTCTATGATTCTATGATTCTATGAACATTACATTTGTTTATAAATCACTTCTCCACCCTCTCCACTGTCCCCAGAATAGTAAACAACAAAATTGCAATACTGAAACAGAAGGAAACAAACAGAAGGAAACAAATCTACTTTTCCCCACAGCTATGGGGAAAAGTAGATTTTGAAAGTCAAGGCATGCTTATAAGAAGCTCAACAAGGAGAAACTAATCTTGTCTTCCCTTGGAAGGGAGTTCCACAATTGGGGTGTTGCTCTTGGAGAAGTCCCATCTCATTTTTATAATGGGGTTGTGCATGGATCCTTTTCTCTTCATTACATCCGTTCTTTCATTACTTTCGGTTTTTTTCGGGAGCACATAACGGGAAGCTCCCTCCTGGTACGAAAATAGTCTCAACACGAAAACAAATGGGAGCTAATCATCAGCTCCTCCTCTGGGTTGTTATAGGTCTTTTCGGGCTATATGGCCATGTTCTAGAGGCATTCTCTCTTGACGTTTCGCCTGCATCTGTGGCAAGCATCCTCAGAGGTTGTGAGATCTCACAACTTCTGAGGATGCTTGCCATAGATGCAGGCGAAACGTCAGGAGAGAATGCCTCTAGAACATGGCCATATAGCCCAAAAAAACCTACAACAACCCAGTGATTCCAGCCATGAAAGCCTTCCACAGTACATAGCTTCTCCTCTGCTTTCGTGAGCACATGGTACTCCATGCCTCCCTGCCTTGGAAAGAGAGAGTGCTAGTCAAGCCTTTCAGGTATAGAATGATACAGATTGAAAGGGCATTTCGCAAGGCTGGCCATAAAGCTTTTGCTAGTATTGTTGTTCTAATGTTTTGCTTGGACAACATGTTCTGCATTAGAATTATAGTTTCTGTCACGAAAGGGACCTTCTGAATGATGGGCCAGGCTGGCTGCCCTTGTCACAAGCGCTTGGCCTTTGTACATAATTTCTTTTTCTCAAACATTGTTGAAACGCAGAGTAAAAGCTAAAAGGGCTAAGTTCATAAGTGGAAAAAAAAAATCTCCAGCTGATTATCTCAACAGAGGCTGTTGTTCCAGCAGTGGGAAAATATTCTACTGTCTTGAGATTGTGAATAAAGGGTCTGGCTAAGCAAATCTGACAGCCATGAGATTAAATAGCATTTGACTATGAAATAGTCCACTGCTCTGAGAGTAAATAGCCCCAGGAAAGGCCTCTTAAATGGATAGTTAATACAGCAAAAACATGTTTTACTGTGTGCTGGATAAACCACTAATAAAGGTTTTTTGTTGTCAACACGATCAGGTTACTAAGCGTGCAGCCTTCTGCCATTCTAATTATTATCATGGTTCGGTCTTAGATTTTGGTTGCCACAAAAAGCATTGGAACGTATCCCACAGATTATTTCTTGATGGAGGAGAAGTGTTTTATATCTAAAGAAAGGAATGAATACAGGAAACCACCATTCCAGAGGCTCCTTGGCCCGGAGGAGGAGATCGTCCAGCTCCTGAACAGCTGGTTCCCAGAAGAAGGTTACGTTGGACGGATCCTCTTTAAAACACGCGAGGAAGTGAGTATTTGCCTTGACATCTATTGCTTGCTGATACTATCAGGAGGATGGCAAAACAAACACTTTAATTACTTGGCTCAGTGTAACTTATTCTTGTTAGCAAAGAGCAATAAGAAAGGAAGTAATACAGAGCAGCCTGGCAGTACTACTAGAATAGATAATTGTGTACTGTTTAGTGCATGAGATCCAATTAGCATACTCCTAGAGCCTAAGATTGTGTCTGCATTGCACATTTATATCAGTTTGGTACAGGTTGAACATCCCTTATTTGAAATGTTTGGGGCCAGAAGTATTTTGGATTTTAGAATTTCTGTATTTATATATGAGCTGTCTTGGAGTTGTGACCCTAATCTAAACATGGAATTTACTTATGTTTTCTTCTTATATGCAGAACTTCAAGGTAATTTTATGCCCAATATTTTAAATAATTTTGTGCACAAAACAAAGGTTTTTGTACATTGAACCATTGTGTCACAATTGGACAAGTTTGGATTCTGGAATATTTCAGATTTTGGATATTTAAATAGGAAGTGTTCAGTCTGTTTCAGAAAAACTACATCTTCATCCCCTTAAATAACACAACAGCCCCCTTATCCAATATTTTTTTTGGAAACACAATAGCTTACTTTTTCATGTTTTTCCAGAACCTGAACAGCAGAAATCTCTTTCAGGAAGAGAAGGAAGATGCTGCTAGCTCTGAGGATGACAGTTTCTTTGTCCAAGTGCATGACGTTTCCCCAGAACAGCCGCGAACAGTTATCAAAGCTCCCCGCTTCAGCACAGCCCAAGATGTTATCCAACAGGTATGGGACACTGCTTCCAGACAGCCATGCCCTAAACCAGTGGTTCTCAAAGTGTACTCCGGGGAGCCCTTGGAGCTCTGCAAAACATGCTGAGGGACTTCATGGTTCCCTTCTTCTCTCCCTCCAAGCTTTCACTCCTCTTTCTTGCTCCTCCCCCTTCACCCTTGCCCCCAAAAGCATTTTCAACCTGCCTCTTTTGCTGCCAAAAGCCTTTTTTCCCTCGGCCTCCTCACCCCCAAAAGCCTTTTTTTCCTCACCTCACTGTCCCCTAAGAGCTTTCCCCCCTTGGCCTGGTGAGGGCGCGGGGCAGGCAAGGGGGCCTCTGCACGAAGCCTGGCCTGGTGCGAATCCTGCCTCGTTTTCTCGCCATATGGCGAGGGTGTGGGGCAGGTGAGGGCGTGGGGCAGGCGAGGGGGCCTCCGCGTGAAGAGTCCACAGAGTCCACAGAAGATTGGTATCCTTGCTGTTGTATAAATAAGTTTTCTATCCACCGACCAAATCCATTTACAATTTAAAGTATTAAAATACATGAAGGAATCCAGCAGCATCTTTGACAATATGTGGAGAAATTAGTTGCAAATGTAGCATTGCTAACAGAGAGTAACAAGATTGCTGGTTTTAATACAATGGCTGATAGTTTGTTGATGAATTAAAATCTTATAAGTCAGACTTACGATGTTATAATCCACTTTATTTGTCATTGCAGAACTCAGAATTCACTGTCAACTATACAATGGGTAAAATCCCTCCCAGCCCACCTTTTCTTGGGGCATCTCCCCAAATCCAGCTGTTTCTTGGTTGGGGGAGAGTAAGCAGCATACATGTATCCATCTCCAGAGACCTCCATAAGATCTTCCTGGAGGTTCCTGCAAATGCCTCCTGTTGTGTATTCAGCTTGAGCAAAATAGCTGGATGTTTGTTTGCTGTCCCCTCTACCCTCCATCAGCAGGAAATGGCTGGATTTGGGGGACTGCCACTGGGAAAATGAGTTTTGGTCGATTGGATAGGAGAGGAGATTAAAAAAAATCTGTTTCTGGTTTGAAAATGTTATTTCCTGTTTAATTGTGCGATACCAACATTGAAAGTAGTTGCCATACTCCAGAAACCTTTTGTGGCTGCCACAAATTATGTTGAATTGGTTGAGACTCTAGAACAGTGGTTCTCAACCTGTGGGTCCCCAGCTTTTTTGCCTTCAACTCCCAGAAATCCTAACAGCTGATAAACTGGCCAGGATTTCTGGGAGTTGTAGGCCAAAACACCTGGGGACCTACAGGTTGAGAACCACTGCTCTAGAAGATATTCTTTGAAAAAGTAGAGCAAAATGACTGCAGGATGTTCTGCCAAAACAAAGTTTTTGAAGTTTAATAATAATAATAATAATAATAATAATAATAATAATAATAATAACGTTTATTATATTCCACCCTTCTCCCTGAGGGGACTCAGAGTGGATTACAACATATAAACAAACACAGGCAAACATTCAATGCCTTGTTACAATGACATACAATGAGGCACAATTACACAAACTAAGGCAAAGGCTTCACCTTTCAGTTCCAGCTCTGGAGGCAGTGCTCATCTCTGGCTCTGGGGGAGGTGCTCTTCCTCCATTTCCAAGCTGAGAAACCTGCGTCCTTCCTTCCTTCACTTTTTGCTTCCATCCTTCCTTCTCTTTCCTTCTTTCCTTCCCTCCCTCTTTCTCTCCTTACTTCCTTCTCTACCTCCTTCCTTCCTTCCTTCCTTCCTTCCTTCCTTCCTTCCTTCCTTCACTTTTTGCTTCTATCCTTCCTTCTCCCTTTCCTTCTTTTTTTCCTTCCCTCTCTTTCTTTCTTTCTTTCTTTCTTTCTTTCTTTCTTTCTTTCTTTCTTTCCCCCCTTCCTTCCCTCCCTCTTTCTTCCCTATTTCTGTATCGTCATTTAGCTTTTCGTCATTTAGCTTTTTGGGGTTTTTGTCATTTGCGCTGTTTTGGGGTTTTTTTATGAGTGATGGTCACTCCTTGGTCCGTTAGGGTTATAGTGTCCAAATTTCGTGTGAATTCGTCCAGTGGTTTTTGAGTTGTGTTAATCCCACAAACGAACATTACATTTTTATTTATATATATATATGGTTTCCTACTTACTGGAAGCTCAGGAATGCGAAAGCCAGTCAGGTAAAGTATTTGGTTCATGATCTTGATGCTCATTACGTTGTGCAAACATCCAGGCCCATAGTCACTGACTAAGCAGATGGGAGGATACGGAGGACTATTGTCCCCAAAAATAACTTTTCCAAATATTCTCTAGTCCTGCAGGTTTTGTATTCTGTTTAGGAGTCTAGTGATTGCTACAGAGAAGTACCAAATTGTTGATTCCTTCATTCTGTATGTCCTTCAGCTTGCGCTAGATGAGATTTGCCTAATGAATAAATGGAATTTTGGTTTTGCTTCCATTTTATTTTCTCAAATAGACTTTATGCAAGGCCAAATATTCCTACAGTATTCTGAGCAATCCCAACCCAAGTGATTATGTGCTCTTGGAGGAAGTGACAAAAGAGTCGACGAGCAAAAAATCCTCCACATCCAAAACGTCTCAGAGGATTCTTTCTGATCAAGAATGTGTGTTTCAGGCTCAGAACAAGTGGAAGGGAGCCGGGAAATTTATCCTTAAACTTAAAGAACAAGTTCAAGTAAGTATATTGTTGAAGACTTTTGATAAGCTTTACCATTTTTTGTTCAGTAAGACCCTATGACATGACTGAAAGCAAGATTTTACTGAAAACCAGTGGAGCCCCCAGTGGCACAATGGGTTAAACCCTTGTGCCGACAGAACTGCTGACTGAAAGGCGAGTGATTTGAATCTAAGGAGTTGGGTGAGCTCCAATCTGTCAGCTCTAGCTTCTCATGTGGGGACATGAGATAAGCCTCCCACAAGATGGTAAAACATTCGGGCATCCCTTGGACAACGTTCCTTGTAGATGGAAAATTCTCTCACACAAGAAGCGACTTGCAGTTTCTCAAGTCTCTCCCGACACAAAAAAACCAAAACAAACAGAATTCTTTTCAGACTATGCAAAGGATGCACAAATTCTCCCTGCCCTTCCTTCAAAAAGTCTAACTATTAGGCTTGGGCGGTTTCGTTCGTTAATTTCGTAATTCGTTATTAATTCGTATTTAAATTAGCTTACGATCCAATATTGAGCCATGCAGGAATAGTGTGAGGAGTAAATTAGATTCGAAACAATTTTTTCAATTTATTTCGTAATTATTTTGTAATTATTTCGTAATTATTTCGTAATTATTTTCGCATGTCTGGTGCAAGTTTTATAGTTGTTGTTTGTTTTATCACACCAACAGTCAACAACAGAGGGAGAGGGAAGCTTCAGAAGTTCCCCCTGTCCCATTTGGAGGTTTTTTTAGCATATTGCGCAATCGCGTCCGCCATTAACGAATCGATTCGTAATTATACGAAATTTCGTATATTTTGAAATTTTTAAAAGGAAAATTTCGGAATTATTTAAAAAAACGAAACGCAAGGGCCCCCTAAAAACAAAACGAGTTTAGAACCAATTTTTTCCGTGGTTACCCAAGCCTACTAACTATCATTGCCCATGGCAGCAGAAGGAATAGCCCAACAGCACATGCAGTGGAGCATTAAGTTCTTCCTACCCAATGTAGCAGCTCAGCCACAACATGTTTTCTTTATCTATGTGTGCATGCTGTGTTTCTATTATGTATATGTGGCGCAGCTGGATGGGAAGTCAGCTGTATTAAAATCACTACTGACAGAAAGGTCATGAGTTCAAAACCAGCTTGGGTCGGAGTAAGCGCCCGAACATTTGTCTAGCTTGCTGTTGACCTTTGCAGCTCGAAAGACAGTTGCATCTGTCAAGCAGGAAATTTAGATACCTCTTATGTGGGGAGGCTAATTTAACTAATTTATCACTCGGGGTGCTTTGAATGCAATATTCCTGCTTCTAGGCAGGGGGTTGGACTGGATGGCCCATTAGGTCTCTCCAATTCTATGATTCTATTATTATGACGCCATAAAATCGCCAGCAGCGTGAAAAAGAATGAGGAAGTACTCCGTCGGTGTCACAACTGGATGGTGAAGCAACAGCTCCCCCCAGTGGCTGGAATTCGAAGCATACCCTCATGAAGCTGGAAAGTTAAATAGCCTATTATTATGACGCCATAAAAATTGCCAGCAGCGTGCAAAAGAATGAGGAAGTACTCCATTGGTGTCACAACTGGACGGTGAAGCAACAGCTCCCCCCAGTGGCTGGAATTCGAAACATACTCTCATGAAGCTGGAAAGTTAAATAGCCTCTGTCTATATATGTTGTGTGTCCATGGCATTGAATGTTTGCCGTTTATATGTGCATTGTGATCCGCGGGATGAGAAGGGCGGAATATAAATACTGTAAGTAAATAAATAATATTATGTAAGTATAGTTACAGATAAGCATGGCACAGCATAAGTGAACTCTGATTACTAGATAGTCTGTAAATACAATAAACCAAGGAACAAGCCAATCACATCCTTACTATTTCTATTGCTTTATTTGATCTGATTTGTAGACGGGCCGAGATGACAAAAGGAAAGGCATTTCACTTGCTAATGAACTCAAGAAATTAACTAAATCAAGTAAGCAGTACAGAGGCTTTATCACGTCACCTCTTCAAACATCTTCAGAAAGTCTCCCAAGCAGAGATGACAAGACGGCTTGCGGTTTGACTTTCAGTGACACTCTGGAGTAGTCGCCTGCAGAGTTTTGTTTTCAGGTAGGAGATGACTGAAAGCATTTAAACTCAGGATTTTGGGTTAAGGCCACCAGCCCTGGCAATTGTTCACCGTGATGCATGTGATATTCACTCTCAATTGTTTCAAGGAGATCCTTTCTCTGAATTGTGTAATACTTTTTCCACTTCCATTGTTGTAAGACAACTTGAGACTTATTTGGGTAAGAGTGAGAGGTTGGATTTACTGTGAATATTCTTGGATGTGTGGAGAAGCAAAACCATGATATATGGTTTTATCCTCACATGCCAACAGTTTAAGAGAGAAGATGCCCACTCACTTCCTTTTTTCCAGAAATACTAATTGCTCACACTCTTGAAAAGAAACCCTAACAAAAGGCTGATTTGTCCACTTTACAGAATCTCAGGTGAGACTTAGGCCCTTTCCACGCATCTGAAAAAAAATCCTACATTATCTACTTTGAACTGGAATATATGGCAGTGTGGACTCAGATAGCCCAGTTCAAAGCAAATATTGTGGAGTTTTCTGCCTTGATATTCTGGGTTATATGGAGCTCCTGGTGGCGCAGTGGGTTAAAGCACTGAGCTGCTGAACTTGCTGGCCAAAAGGTCACTGGCTCGAATCCAGGGAGCAGCATGAGCTCCCGCTGTTAGCCCCAGCTTCTGCCAACCTAGCAGTTCAAAAATATGCAATTGTGAGTAGAATAGGTACCGCTCCAGCAGGAAGTTAATGGAACTCCATGCATCCATGACTTAGGAGGTGTCTACGGACAATGCTGGCTCTTCGGCTTAGAAATGGAGATGAGCACCGCCCCCCAGAGTTGGACACAAATGGACTTAATAATAATAATAATACAATATTATAATTATAATTATATATTTCCATTACATGTAATATTACTAATTATTATGGGGGTTCTGTGTGGGAAGTTTGCCCCAATTCTGTCATTGGTGGGGTTCAGAATGCTCTTTGAATGTAGGTGAACTATAAATCCCAGTAACTACAACTCCAAATGTCAAAGTCTATTTCCCCCAAACTCTATCGGTGTTCATATTTGGGCATATGGAATATTTATGCCAAGTTTGGTCCAGATCCATCCTTGTTTCAGTGCATAGTGTTCTCTGGATGTAGGTGAACTACAACTCCCAAACTCAAGGTCAATGCCCACCAAACCCTTGTAGTGTTTTCTGTTGGTCGTGGAAGTTCTGTGTGCCACGTTTGGTTTAGTTCCATTGTTGGTGGAGATCAGAATGCTCTTTGATTATAGGTTAACTATAAATCCTCGCAACTATAACTCCCAAATGACTAAATCCATTTTTTGGAGTGATGGTCACTCTTTGGGTTAGTAGGTGTCTTGTGGCCAAATTTGACGGCAATTTGTCCAGTGGTTTTTGAGTTATGTTAATCCCACAAACGAACATTACATTTTTATTTATATAGAAGTGTACACCATACATTTCTCCCTGTTGTTTGACACTTATATTTTTTCCTCCTAATTCCAGAAAGTTACAAAGAAGAGAAGTCGCACTAAAGAGAAGCTGAGAAAACCCCAAAGACGTATCCATACCTTTGCCCTCTTCTTTGAGCTGCCTTCCATTTGTAACTGGACCATGTCTATATACGACACAGGCCTTCGATCGGAGCGGGAAATAGCTGGAGGGGATTGGCGCCCCACTTCGGTGCCACCCTGAAGCTGCTTGTGGCGGCAAGAGCCGGTTCTGTGAGCGATCAAAGTTGGCTTGAAACTTTGCTAAGACGCCCTGGAATCCTTTGGAAATGATCCCTTCTGTCTTTACATTCACTACCTTTGGGCAGGAGAACGAAAGCAAGCACCTTCGATTGTCCTTAACGAACAGCATCCAGCCTTTTTCAGAATAGATTTTGGTGATGCATCTTAAGGGAAAATGAAGATTGAGGATGTTCTGGTGTGTGTTCTGTAAACATGATGCACTTTTGAAAGCTCTTTCTAATACACATGTGATAAGTAGGCGTAGGTACATCGTAACTCACAGATTTGAATATGGTGAATGTGTCTGCTTAATAATGTCAGTGTACAGTAGCCAGTATACATATTTTGGTAGTCGAACTTACGTTGATAAGTTAGGAACCAGTTTTGGTCGTGCAATGTATCTTAGCGTTTCTGTTCAAAACAACACTATTATTATTATTATTATTTATTTAAATATCCCAAGGTATGTGCCACTGTACAATGTATTTATCATGCCTTGCTTTAGAGAATTCTATCTATCTTTACAGAACAAAAATCTATTTCTCAGTTTAGAGGAGATGTGTTTAATTTTATTGAGAAGTATATTCAGGAAACACAATCTGTATGCTTCGTATCTCAGTAGTAGAGCAATATTAAAAGTGTTTTGAGAGAGAGAGAGAGAAAATAAACGAGAGCTTTACTTCCGAGTGTATAATGAAAATCTCAAAATAATGTCATGGTAAGTAAAAGTCTGCTTTGAAAATATTTTCATTCGTTGCTGTAGAGGGCTGTCTTATTTCAACCCTTAAACTTAGAAAGCAGGCAATTCAATTTCCATGTTTTTTGGTATAATAAAATCTTGCTGTTTCTGTTTACATAGAAGTACTTGTAAAAATCTGTATATGTTTGCAAAATCAAGAGCTTTGGTTGTTTTTATAAGGGCTGTTAGCACTGGCTGTAAGTTTTCTGCTTTTTGTTGATATTCTGTTAAGAGCAATTTCGCATTGCACCCATAAAGCATGCAAGAATGAAATGATCACCGAGGTTCTCTTACTTTTATTAGTTACTAGCTTACATGCCTGGTGTTTCCTGGATATCGGTGGGGCTGCTGTCACCTCTGCTTTCATCCCTTCTTCTCTTTCCCTCCCCTCATACCTTTTCACCTTTCTTTTCTCTTCCTTCCCTCCCTTCTCCATTCCGTTTCTTTCTTTCTTTTCTATCCCCTTCCCTCCTTTCTCTTTTGTTTGGGTTTGAAAAGGTCTATTTCACAATGTCTCCATGGTTGTTTTTTTGTCGTGTCAGGAGCAATTTGAGAAACTGCAAGTTGCTTCTACTGTGAGAGAATTGGCCGTCTGCAAGGACGTTGCCCAGGGGACACCTGGATGATTTGATGTTTTTATCATCCTTGTGGGAGGCTTCTCTCATGTCCCCGCATGAGAAGCTAGAGCTGTGAAATAGACTCTTTCTTTCTTACTCTCATATCTTTTTCCCTTTCCTTTCTCTTCCCTCCCTCCCTCCCTCCCTCCCTTCTCCATTCATTTCCTTCCTTATTTCTCTCTCCCTTCCCTTCCCTCCTTTCTCCTTTGTTTGGCTCTGAGAGGGTTTATTTCACAATGTCTCCATGTGAAATTACCCTTTCTTTCTCTACCTTCATACCTTTTCTTTCTTTCCTTTCTTCCTTCCCCTTCTTTCCTTCTTTCCCCCTCCCTCCCCTTTCTCCTTTTTGGCTCTGAGAGGATCTATTTCACAATGTCTCCTTGTGAAATAGATCTTCTCCTTCCCTCCCCTCATACCTTTTTATTTTTATTTATTTACTATGCTTCTATATCGCCATTCTCAGCCCGAGGGTGACACATGGCGGTTTACAAAACGACACAATTCCCTTTCCTTTCTCTTCTTTCCTTTCCCTTTCTCTCCTTTCTTCCTTCTCTACCCTCTTCCTTCCCTCCTCATTTCTCCCTTTTTTGGCTCTAAGAGGGTCTATTTCTTTCTCTCCCTCCCAAACCTTTCTCTCTCTTCTTTGGTTCCAAAGCCTTCCTCTCTCAAAAACTTTCATTTTCCCTTCTGCCTTGGCTTCCTCCATTTTCTAAACCTCTTTTCCTCTAGCTCCAAACCCTTTCTTCCACCCCACACCCAACGGAAACAAGCAGCAGCAACAACGGTCCAAACCTCCCCTCTCCCTACCTTGGCTGCAATGAGCCTTCCAGCCATGTACTTGGGTTTATTATATACAGCAATGGCTGTCAGACACTGCAAACCCCTCCCTTACTGAAAACGTAACCCCTGTGGCTGGGAGACAAGCATCTTAGGTTTTGCCTCCCAGTACCTTTAGTTGCATTTATTTATTTATTTTATTTCATATCGAAAGCATTGCATACATAGGTATAAAACTGATAAAAATAGAAGGATAAATATCTTTTGACCAAAAACGGGCAACCGCAACAGCATCATAGCCTCCAAATCCTCCTCTGTACATGAGGCAGGGCATAGCGGACAAGCATACAGATTCGGAGTTGTCTGTTCTGCTCCACAATCACACAAAGTTTGGGATTCTTTTAGTGCCATTTTGCCAGGTTGTCTTTTGATCTGCCCACTCCGCTTCTGAGTCTGTTCAGGGACTTCCAAGTTGCCCATTCTTGGTTTGCCCCTGGAGGAAGACCCTCGTGGGGGGCATCCAGTTGGGATTTCCTGGTTTAGCTGCCCAGAGGGATACCCTTGCTGTTGCTGGGGACACCAAGAGCAGTGGTAGTTCTCATAAAGCTTTTCCTTGATTTGAGTCTGGGAGGAGGTTGGTAGCCATGTAGTGGGTGGCTTTCACAGTGTTCAACCTTATTTCTCTTACATTTGGCAGCAACTTCCCATCGCACATCGGGGCGGGGGGGGCAATGCCAGCTAGCTTGTAGAGTTTCTCAACAGGTCTAGGTTTAAGACATCCTGTGATTATTCTGCATCATAGTTCCCGACTCACTTCCACATCCTTGAAATCAATGGTGCAAGGCGAGTCGAAACTATAGGGGACTTCAGCCTCGCGGAAACATAGCAGAGGCAAAAATATCTGATTTTTTCCGAATTACGCCATATCCGAGTGAACCTATGCAACCCTAATATGTACATACACACATATGAGAGAGAGAGAGAACAGGATTAAGTGGGCAATCATCAATTGGGAGGCAGACTGATTGTAATGAATAGGATCCACTTCTAAGCAGGCTTGCTTGGATTTTTCTCTAGCCCTTTAACACAGGTTTTATGGATCCTTCAGCTGCAGTAGTGCACCTGCTATCCACCAGACTCCCATTGTGTGAATAAATCAAGAAAGGACTATTTAATTCATTAAGTTCAAAGAAAGAGGGATCCTGAAAAAAATAGTTTGAACCTGAATGGAATGTCAAGTCCTAATCAGATTGGAGAACCTACAAAGCGTAATTCTCACTGCTTAACAAAACGTACTGTCCATTTTGCATATAAAAAAAGACCCTCCACGTCAAAGATGGAGCCGTAGGAGGCCCTCATCAAGAGAAGAAAACAAATGCCGCTAATTATTGTACAGGGAGATAATTTTTTTTAGTTGAAGGGGAAGGGAAGTCAAGAAATAACTCCAGAAAAGATCATTGTTTGTTTATAGTTCGCCCCAGGAAATGGTCGAGAAATACTTTCTTGCCAGAAAGGAGGAAGGATATTTACTGGAGCTGCTGGAAAAGAAACACAGCTGTAGTGTGGGAGTTGACTTACATATATGAAAACAGTGCCCTCTTCAGGGGAAGGCTGGGTTGGAATTGGTTCTAGTAAGAGATACAAACAGAATCATTCGCCCAAAATCATTTTTTAAAAAGGCTTTATATAAATATTTACAGTTTAAAGTGTTCTCTAGGAACTTTTTAACATTCTCTCTTAGAAAAAAATATAACTTTGCATTGAGAGAATTGTACAATATTATACATTAAGCAGAAACTTAAACTGAGCAGCTTTACAAGCTTCAACGACGTTAATAGTCTGAATTCTTGAACTGTCTAAAATATAACTCGAATGTATGTCCAAAATCCAGCATCCACCAGAGGGTGAAAATACTTGAATTTCTGTTGAAAACACCGTCGTTTCTTTCCTATATTTCCTTCTTTCTGAGTCTGCATTGCAAGACATCTATGACATTGGCACTGCTTTTAAGTGTTCAGCAAAATCTACGGTGCTTTGGATGGCAGACTCTGCGAGATGAACTTTAACCAGTTTGTTCAAGTCTTCACTGAGAAATGACTCCCCTGATAACGATTTACCCTGAAATGAATAATAATAAAAATAGTAACACTTTATTTATATTCTTCTCCATCTTCCCAAA